CAAGGCAGTTAACCCCCACAACTACTCCCTGATGATGTTGATGAAGGTAGCCCTCTGCACTTCTCTGATTCAGAGGGGTTGGCTTAAACGCGGAAGACACATTTCAATTGAATGTTTTCAGTTGTGCAACCGACTAGGTATCCCCCCCACCCCTCTCCTTTACACACCTGGTGAGTTGTCTTGAAGGAAACGCTTAGAGCACCAAAAGGAATGCTTGCATGTTACAACAGAGTACCAATGATCTGGGACTGTGTGGTCGAAGGAAAATATGTGAAGTCAATGTTAAGTTAAGCCCCAGGTTTGCAGAGTACATAATAACAATGGCAATGGAGTGTACCATTTTTGGTATTTGTTTACAGTGTATGGTTGTGGGTCAAACATCTAATGATTGTAGCCTGTTTAAGCACATCTGCCCTGTGCTTGCTCACTCCTCAGAGTTCACCAATTTAGAGGTTGACTTGGGTGTGGTGCATGCAGCATCCAAGACTCCTGGCACAAATATTTTCAATTGAGACCAATGGAAGTTGGGTGAAGTTTCCCCTAGGTACAGATCTAGAATCAGCTTCTCCTCCCCCAACCCTAACCATAACCATTAGTGGAGGGAATTCCAAACTGACCCCAGATCAGGGTCTAGGGGCAAATTCACACACACCATTGCCATTGGACCTTATACGACCTTGGATTAATTTTTAACTGCCCTTTCAACAAAGCATGAACATGCATGAAAAAGAATGTTCCCAAAATGTATGTCCTCATATCATTTTAATGTTGTCATCTGATATTTTTTATAGAGATAGGGCCTACACATTATTTTTCACTGATCTGATTCTGTTTAGCAGAGGCTGCTGAGAGAGATAAAGTTGAGTTGGTACTTCAATTGAATTTACGTAACAATGGGGAAATGGCAAAATTATCAGTTTGCAAGTTTCATTGAATCCAGGAAACAAAACTCACACGGCATAAATCAAGTGCGCCAGTTGATTTACAATAGTTAACATTTCCCGGTGCGCCAGTTGATTTACAATATGTAACATTTCCCGCAATTGATTGTTTTATGGCTAAATATAGCGTTAGTTATCCAACAGTATTCAGAAATAGCCTTATTAAAACATGACTGTCATCATCGCACGCAATACATAGAGAAAGATAAACATTGTTTTAAATTTACATTAAGAAAAAGGCAGATAACACTTACCCAAGACAAGACAACTGCGTTGCACCGTGAGAACAACTTCTTGAGTGGTCCCGAGGAGATGGATTATGTCCAAACCCAAGCACGAGGCTCAGACGCCGAGTCGAGACTGACAGCATGAAAGATTTCGTTAGATGTAGACATGTCCTGCCTCGCTACTCAAAGAAAGATGTGTTGATGATGTACATAATAATATGAATGCTGACTTCGCAGTTCTATTGGTTTTGTGACTGTTTCAATTAGTTTAAACTAATTTATTAAGTATGGGTGGGATTGCGTTAGTGTGTGTGTGCATGGGTATGTACAGTTTTTAGAGGGAGAAATAACGGAATACATACATACACCTTGCCTTTATACTTTATCCAAATGTCATGCGCTGCTCTCCCAGCTAATAGTCCTAGGGAGAGAGAACGGTTTTGTAATGTTACCCGTGATGTTATCCTAATGTTTGTGTGTCCAGTTTTCCGTTAGTTAGGGGAACATTATATATGTGCCTTCAGAAAGCATTCACACCCCTTCACTTTTTCCACATTTTGTTGTGTTACAGCCTGAATTTAAAACTGATTAAATATAGTAGGTTTTTTTTGTCACTGGCCTACACACACACACACAATACCCCATAATGTCAAATTAGATTTTTTTTTTTTTTTACATTGTAGTTAACTCCACAATACTAACCTAATTGGCAGAGTGAAAAGAAGGAAGCCTGTACAGAATACAAATATTCCAAAACATGCATCCTGATTGCAGGATCCTGAAGGCTTCAATACTTAAAAAACTGTTTGTCCTGAATACAACACATCACTGAGTAGCACTCCATATTTTCAAGCATAGTGGTGGCGGCATCATGTCATGGGTATGCTTGTAATCGTTAAGGACTGGGGAGTTTTTCAGGATAAAAAAAGAAACGGAATGGAGCTAAACGCAGGCAAAATCCTTTAGAAAAACCTGTTTCAGTCTGCTTTCCACCAGACACTGGGAGATGAATTCACCTTTCAGCAGGACAATAGCATAAAACACAAGGCCAAATCTACACTGGAGTTGCTTACCAAGAAGACAGTGAATGTTCCTGAGTGGCCGAGTTACAGTTTTTACTTAAGTCTACTTGGAAATCTATGGCAAGACCTGAAAATGGTTGTGTAGCAATGATCAACAACCAATTTGGCAGCTTGAAGAATTTTGAAAAAAAAGAATGGGCAAATGTTGCACAATCCAGGTGTGGAAAGCTCTAAGAGACTTACCCAGAAAGACACACAGCTGTAATCGATGTCAAAGGTGCTTCTACAAAGTATTGACTCAGGTGTGTGAATACTTATGTAAATTAGATATTTGTGTTTGATTTTCAATACATTTGCTAAAAACATGTTTTCACTTAGTCATTATGGGATGTTGTGTGTACATACACAGAACATGGTTACTATGTTCTCAGAATATAAGACATTAATGTTCTAGACACGTTACAGGGGATGTTGCAAGAACATTAATGTGTCCAGCTTTCTGAGGGTTAGGAGAATATTCCATCAACTTCCCACCAAATATACACACAACATGGTTGCCATGTTCTCAGAATATAAGATATTAATGTTCTAGACACATTTAATGGGAATGTTGCAAGCACATTTCTGTGTATATCAGTTGTCAGGACGTCACCTGATGATCCCAAAGAAACGTTCTCCAAAAAATAGTGACACATCACATCCTGTTACTGTTGCCAAGCCCATCAAGTACCTTATTAGTGAGGCACTGATTCATTCACAGCTCTTTTTGTCAGTTGGCAAGGGATACTCACACACAGTGCTTTCAACTTACATATCAAATCAAATTAAATTTTATTGGCCACATGCGCCAAATACAACAGGTGCAGACATTACAGTGAAATGCTTACTTACAGCCCTTAACCAACAGTGCATTTATTTTTAACAAAAAAGTAAAAATAAAACAACAACAAAAAAAGTGTTGAGAAAAAAGAGCAGAAGTAAAATAAAATAACAGTAGGGAGGATATATATACAGGGGGGTACCGGTGCAGAGTCAATGTGCGGGGGCACCGGCTAGTTGAGGTAGTTGAAGTAATATGGACATGTGGGCAGAGTTAAAGTGACTATGCATAAATAATTAACAGAGTAGCAGCAGCGTAAAAGGATGGGGTGGGGGGGCAGTGCAAATAGTCCGGGTAGCCATGATTAGCTGTTCAGGAGTCTTATGGCTTGGGGGTAGAAGCTGTTGAGAAGTCTTTTGGACCTAGACTTGGCACTCCGGTACCGCTTGCCGTGCGGTAGCAGAGAGAACAGTCTATGACTAGGGTGGCTGGAGTCTGACAATTTTGAGGGCTTTCCTCTGACACCGCCTGGTATAGAGGTCCTGGATGGCAGGAAGCTTGGCCCCAGTGATGTACTGGGCCGTACGCACTACCCTCTGTAGTGCCTTGCGTTCGGAGGCCAAGCAGTTGCCATACCAGGCGGTGATGCAACCAGTCAGGATGCTCTCGATGGTGCATCTGTAGAATTTTTTGAGGATCTGAGGACCCATGCTAAATCTTTTCAGTCTCCTGAGGGGGAATAGGCTTTGTTGTGCCCTCTTCACGACTGTCTTGGTGTGTTTGGACCATGATAGTTCGTTGGTGATGTGGACACCAAGGAACTTGAAGCTCTCAACCTGTTCCACTACAGCCCCATCGATGAGAATGGCACACTTTGACTACATTGTGCATGTTAATTTATACAGTGATTATTATTCAACATGTCTTCACCTGGGATGTGAACTCACAATCTCTTGGTTCACAGCATTCAGATATTCCTGCTACGCCACCATGTCTGTGTCAGTTATCTGTTAATTTGACTATTCTCATCATTGATTTGATTTACTTAATTCAACAATTGAAGGTTTTTTTGCATAGTTGTCTAATCTTGGTGGGGCATATTAACCTGTTTTAATGATACTCCTGATCACTATGATCAATGAAAGTTTTTCTTGAATGTACTTTTAACAGAGCTGAGATTTACTTCAAAGTGCATTCACCCTATTGCTTACACCTATCAAGTTGTTTCAGATCTACACAAGTGCCTAAGGAGGAGGGGTTAGGGTTTCTTCTGGACAAGGCCTAACTATAATGGCCCAATAAGCACATGCCCTAGAGCAGGGATCATCAATTAGAGTCAGCCGCAAGCAGATTTTTTCTTGAGCGGAAGGTTGGAGGACAAATAATTTGTACATTAGCCACACTTTTTTGGTTACTACATGATTCCATGTGTTATTTCATAGTTTTGATTTCTTCACTATTATTCTACAATGCAGAAAACAGTACAAATAAAGAAAAACCCTTGAATGAGTAAGTGTGTCCAAACTTTTGACTGGTACTGTTTATCAAATATGTAAGTTTAAAAACATGGTGTGTGAGTATCCCTAACCTTGCCAACAGACATCCACCGTTGCTCCCTACCTAGAATATTACATTTCCCAATAATGTGTAATGAATATGCAATATTAATGTAACATGAATGTTACAAAATGAATATGTAAATTGTTTGTCCCTGTGCATGTGAAAGAGCTGTGTGCTGAAGAGCAGTGGTTCCCAACCTTTTTCTGTTACTGTACCACCAACTGAATTTTGCTCTGCCTGGAGTACCCCTGATGTACCCCCTCATGTGCATTTTACCAGTAGGCCTATGGTCTCATGAGTCTCCCTGTGTACTCCCTGTGGATGGGCCGAGTACCCCCAGGGATCCTAGTACCCCTGGTTGGGAACCACTGGTCTAGAGGAGGAAGCGCTCGTCTTGCAGGCTAAGAGGCACATCTGGCTGGAGTATAAGATGGTCGGAAGCCAAGAGCATCAGCGGCAGATTCAGCACCTGGAATTTGAGCCGGCTCTGATGCAGAGGGGTTTTCAGGAGATGGCAGGTACATGCACTCACAGGCTGGGTTTTTATATGGGATGGAAAACCAGGCCCATGTTTTCTGGGAAGTCAACTCCCATTTAGACCCCTGTTCCCCTATTCATTTGAAACTGGTAAATAGGTTTGGGAATAAACTTTTCTTTGCGAACATGAGATTGAACCTAGGATTAATTTAATCAAAGAAATCATGTTTACAAAAACAAAAGTAAATTAATTTACAATATCCCTTCTTCCAGGGCTGATGGGCAGACAGAGAGACTGTCAGGGGTGCTGAAGGTGGGTGTGGTGCAGGAATCAAGCGCAGGACGCAGAAGCTAAGTCCAAAATACTTTAGTGAATTATTCACGTAGTACACGAGAACAATAAGCCCGGAGGCGAAATAAAGGCGCACACAGGCGTCAAACAAAAGGCGCACTAACATATGCAAAAACCTCTCCAAACAACGGAGGGAAGATACGTAGCTCAGAACACCAAACAGAAGAGCAATCACACACAACACCATACACACACAACGAGAACTAAATAGGACACTAATGAGGACTAACTAGACACAGGTGTACAACATCAAGACAAAACCAAACGAACATGAAACATAGATCGGTGGCTGCTAGTACTCCGGGGACGACGACGGCCGAAACCTGCCCGAACAAGGAGGAGGAGCAGCCTCGGCCGAAACCGTGACAGTACCCCCCCCCTTGACGCGCGGCTCCAGCCGTGCGCCGACCCCGGCCTCGGGGACGACCAGGAGGGCGCGGAGCAGGGCGCGCGGGATGGTCCCGGTGGAACTCCGACAGGAGAGATGGGTCTAGGATGTCCCTCCGCGGCACCCAGCACCGCTCCTCCGGGCTGTACCCCTCCCACTCCACGAGATACTGGAGACCCCCCATCCGGCGTCTTGAGTCCAAGATGGACCGAACGGTGTACGCCGGAGCCCCCTCGATGTCCAGTGGGGGCGGAGGAGTCTCTCCTATCTCACCTTCCTGGAGTGGACCAGCTACCACCGGCCTGAGAAGAGACACATGGAACGAGGGGTTAATATTCTTATATTCAACAGGCAGATGTAACCTATAACACACCTCGTTCAATCTTCTCAGGACTTTAAAAGGCCCCACAAACCGCCGACCCAGCTTCCGGCAGGGCAGGCGGAGGGGTAGGTTTCTGGTAGAGAGCCAGACTCGATCTCCGGGTGCGTACACCTGCCCCTCACTGTGGTGGAGATCGGCGCTCGCCTTGTGACGACGGATGGCCCGCTGCAGGTGGACGTGTGCAGCGTTCCACGTCTCCTCCGAGCGCCTCATCCAATCATCCACCGCAGGGGCCTCGATCTGGCTCTGCTGCCAAGGTGCCAGAACCGGATGGTAACCTAACACACATTGGAAGGGGGTTAGGTTGGTAGAGGAGTGGCGGAGAGAGTTCTGGGCCATCTCGGCCCAGGGAATGTACCGAGCCCACTCCTCAGGCCGGTCCTGGCAATACGACCTCAGAAACCTACCCACATCCTGGTTGACTCGTTCTACCTGCCCGTTACTCTCCGGGTGGTACCCTGAGGTAAGGCTCACCGAGACCCCCAAACGCTCCATGAACGCTCTCCATACTCGGGAGGTAAACTGGGGGCCTCGATCAGACACTATATCCTCGGGTACCCCGTAATGCCGGAAGACGTGGGTAAATAGTGCCTCTGCGGTTTGTAGGGCAGTAGGAAGACCCGACATAGGGAGAAGACGACAGGCCTTAGAGAACCGGTCCACAACGACCAGGATGGTGGTATTCCCCTGAGAGAGGGGAAGGTCTGTCACAAAATCCACCGTGAGGTGGGACCATGGTCGTTGTGGAACGGGCAGGGGTTGTAACTTACCCCTGGGCAGGTGTCTGGGCGCCTTACACTGGGCGCACACCGAGCAGGAGGAGACATAAACCCTCACATCCCTGGCTAACGTGGGCCACCAGTATTTAGTGCTAAGACAATGCACTGTCCGGCCAATACCCGGATGTCCAGAGGAGGGTGACGTGTGAGCCCAGTAAATGAGTCGATCCCGAATCTCGAGCGGAACGTACTTCTGACCCTCAGGACACTGTGGAGGGCTGGGGTCGGTACGCAACGCTCGCTCGATTTCAGCATCGACCTCCCACACCACAAGACAAGACTCCGGTAGTATGGGAGTAGGCTCAACGGACCTCTCCTCCGTGTCATACCGCCGGGACAGCGCATCTGCCTTACCATTCTGGGACCCAGGGATGTACGTGATTTTAAATACGAACCTGGCGAGAAACATACTCCATCGAGCCTGGCGAGGGTTCAGTCTCCTCGCTGCCCGGATGTACTCCAGGTTCCGATGGTCAGTCAAAATGAGGAAAGGGTGTTGAGCCCCCTCAAGCCAATGCCTCCACACCTTAAGGGCTTGAACTACAGCTAACAGCTCCCTGTCCCCGACGTCATAATTTCGCTCCGCCGGGCTGAGCTTTTTAGAGTAATAAGCACAGGGGCGGAGTTTAGGTGGCGTGCCGGACCGTTGAGAGAGTACGGCCCCTATACCAGCCTCAGACGCGTCCACCTCGACCTGAAAGGGTAATGCGGGGTCCGGATGCGCCAGCACCGGAGCCGACGTAAACAGGTCCTTCAGTCTCCTAAAGGCCCTGTCCGCATCAGCTGACCACTGCAGGCGCACCGGACCCCCTTTCAGAAGGGACGTGATGGGAGCTGCCACCTGTCCAAAACCCCGGATAAACCTCCGGTAGTAATTCGCAAAGCCCAAGAACTGCTGCACCTCTTTGACAGTGGTTGGGGTTTGCCAATTACGCACAGCTGACACACGATCCACCTCCATTCTCACCCCTGACGCAGACAACCGATAACCCAAAAAGGAGACCGACTCCTGGAAAAACAGACATTTCTCTGCCTTGACATATAGGTCGTGCTCCAACAGCCTCCTCAATACACGACGCACCAGGGCTATATGCTCGGCTCGGGTAGACGATTACACTAGAATGTCATCAATGTACACGACCACCCCTTGCCCCTGCATATCCCGGAAAATGTCATCTACGAAGGATTGGAAGACTGATGGAGCATTCATCAACCCATATGGCATGACGAGATACTCGAAATGACCTGACGTGGTACTAAACGCTGTTTTCCATTCGTCGCCCTCCCTAATGCGCACCAAGTTATACGCGCTCCTGAGATCCAGTTTTGTGAAAAACCGCGCTCCATGCAATGACTCTGTCATGGTCGCAATCAGAGGGAGTGGATAACTGTATTTCACAGTAATCTGATTGAGACCACGGTAATCGATGCACGGGCGCAACCCTCCATCTTTTTTCTTCACAAAAAAGAAGCTTGAGGAGGCGGGAGAAGTGGAGGGCCGTATGTATCCCAGTCTCAAAGATTCGGCTATGTAAGTTTCCATAGCTTTTCTCTCCTCTTGAGACAAAGGATACACGTGGCTCTGTGGGAGCGCTGCTCCTGCCTGGAGATCAATCGCACAATCCCCCTGTCTATCGCCCTAGCTTTACTAAACACGAGAGCTAAATCCCCATATTCAGGCGGAATGTGCAGTGCAGGCACTTGGTTTGGACTCTCCACCGAAGTCGCCCCTACGGAAACACCCAGACATCGCCCCTCACACTGAGCAGACCACCCATTGAGAGCCCTTTGTTGCCACGAAATAGCAGGGTTATGGGTGCTTAACCAGGGAATTCCCAGCACCACCGGGTACGCAGGAGAGTCGATCAGATACAACTGTATAGTCTCTTCATGACCCCCCTGCGCACACATCCTAAGTGGCGCTGTGACTTCCCTAATCAACCCCGACCCCAACGGGCGGCTATCTAAAGCATGAACGGGAAAAGGCTTGTCAACAGGCAGGAGAGGGATCCCTAAATCTAAACAAAACTTCCGATCAACAAAATTCCCAGCTGCGCCTGAATCTACTAGCGCCTTATGCTGGGAATGAGGTGCAACCTGTGGAAAACAAACAGGTATACAAAAGTGCGCAACAGAGAGCTCTGGGTAAGTGGGGCGTCTACTCACCTGGGAAGGCTCCCCAGTGCGTGGCCTGTTGTCTCCTCCCTCGGGGAACCCTCCCCAGCACCTGGCCGCAGTGTGCCCTCCACGACCGCACTTGGTGCAGGGGACAGGCCCCCTCGGGCTCCTCCTCCTCCTTTCTCTAGCGCCAGCACCCCCGAGCTCCATAGGGCTCGGCTCGGAGGTGCCTGAGGGTGGAATGGACGGACCCCACTCGGGACGTCCACGGGTGGCCAGCAGGGTGTCCAGACGGATGGACATATCGACCAACTGGTCGAAGGTGAAATTGGTGTCCCTGCAGGCCAACTCACGTTGAACGTCCTCCCGTAGGCTACATCGAAAATGGTCGATGAGGGCCCGTTCATTCCACCCTGCGTCTGCCGCTAGAGTCCGGAACTCCAGCGCGAACGCCTGTGCGCTCCTCCTCCCCTGTCTCAGGTGGAATAGACGCTCCCCCGCCGCTTTGCCCTCAGGTGGATGGTCGAACACGGCCTTGAAGCGACGGGAGAACTCGGCGTAGGAGATGGTGGTGGCGTCCATCCTCCTCCACTCGGTGTTGGCCCATTCCAACGCCTTGCCCGTGAGACAGGAGATGAGGGCGGAAACGCTCTCGTGTCCCGAGGGCACCGGGTGTACAGTGGCCAGGTAGAGCTCCACCTGCAGGAGGAACCCCTGACACCCGGCAGCTGTTCCGTCATACGCCCTCGGGAGCGAGAGCCGAATCCCACTGGGTTCCGGACCTGGGACTGGTGGACCGCCGATGGGGGTGGCAGGGTAGGTGGAGGTGTGGGTACCCCTCTGGACTCCCATCGGTGCAGGGTGTTGATGACGTCCTGTAGAGCGGTCCCCAGTTGTCTGATCTGGTCATCCTGGCCGCGGACATGCTCCTCCAGCGACTCAGGCGTGACTGTTGCTCCTGCTGATTCCATTCATAAAGGTGTGTGATTCTGTCAGGGGTGCTGAAGGTGGGTGTGGTGCAGGAATCAAGCGCAGGACGCAGAAGCTAAGTCCAAAATACTTTAGTGAATTATTCACGTAGTACACGAGAACAATAAGCCCGGAGGAAAAATAAAGGCGCACACAGGCGTCAAACAAAAGGCGCACTAACATGTGCGAAAACCTCTCCAAACAACGGAGGGAAGATACGTAGCTCAGAACACCAAACAGAAGAGCAATCACACACAACACCATACACACACAACGAGAACTAAATAGGACACTAATGAGGACTAACTAGACACAGGTGTACAACATCAAGACAAAACCAAACGAACATGAAACATAGATCGGTGGCAGCTAGTACTCCGGGGACGACGACCGCCGAAACCTGCCCGAACAAGGAGGAGGAGCAGCCTCGGCCGAAACCGTGACAGATGCCCTTACAGCTTTTTCCTGACTGTGTCTCTTATTTCTACAGACAATATTCAGTGCTCTCTTGACGTGACTTTCAATGAAATTGGCAAGAAAACAGTACATCTCACAAGAAACAGCTGGCACATCAGCAGAACACAGATTTCTTTAGTTTTGATGATAACACTGTTTTTCCTCAGAGGGCCATCAAACACCTTGACAAGCACAGCCAACAGCAGTAAGAGAGAATGAGTGGCTGAAGAGAGAGATATGGCACGTTATATTATAAGTATGTGGTCCTCTGTAACTCAATTGGTAGAGCATGGCGTTTGTAACGCCAGAGTAGTGGGTTCGATCCCCGGGACCACCCATACGTAAAAATGTATGCACACATGACTGTAAGTCGCTTTGGATAAAAGCGTCTGCTAAATGGCATATTATTATATTATTAAGTATGGTGTGTGTGTGCTTGAAAAAAATAAACAGCACATTAGGTTCGCTTTATTTTACAGTTCAGTTTATCTGGTACTAATCATGGTTTGTTCTAAAGAAAAGCATAAAAGACCAATCATTACGTACCATAATAACAAGGTACCAATTATTATTATTTAATTTTTTAAGGTAAGTACCAAACAGTACCACTTGTGTGACCCTATTGTTACACAGTATACCAGGCAAATAGGAGATTAATCAGGACTGGTGAATAACATTACCACACATTACCAGAAAACACATCCTCTTCCTCCAGGGGGCTGTTCCAGAAAGATGGATTAATGAGTTAGCCAGCTACCTGTCCAAAATAACTTTATGTTTTTGATAAATATACAGTTGAAGTCGGAAGTTTACATACACCGTAGCCAAATACATTTAAACTCAGATTTTCACAATTCCTGACATTTAATCCTAGTAAAAATGCCCTGTCTTAGGTCAGTTAGGATCACCACTTTATTTTAAGAATGTGAAATGTCAGAATAACAGTAGAGAGAATGATTTATTTCAGCTTTTATTTCTTTCATCACAATCCCAGTGGGTCAGATGTTAGTATACACTCAATTAGTATTTGGTAGCATTGCCTTTAAATTGTTTAACTTTGGTCAAACGTTTCGGGTAGCCTTCCACAAGCTTCCCACAATAAGTTGGGTGAATTCTGGCCCATTCCTCCTGACAGAGCTGGTGTAACTGAGTCAGGTTTGTAGGCCTCCTTGCTCGCACACGCATTTTCAGTTCTTCCCACAAATGTTCTATAGGATTGAGGTCAGGGCTTTGTGATGGCCACTCCAATACCTTGACTTTGTTGTCCTTAAGCCATTTTGCCACAACGTTGGAAGTATGCTTGGGGTCATTGTCCATTTGGAAGACCCATTTGCGACCAAGCTTTAACTTCCTGACTGATGTCTTGAGATGTTGCTTCAATATATCCACATAATTTTCCTTCCTCATGATGCCATCTATTTTGTGAAGTGCACCAGTCCCTCCTGCAGCAAAGCACCCCCACAGCATGATGCTGCCACCCCCGTGCTTCACGGTTGGGATGGTGTTCTTCGGCTTGCAAGGCTCCCCTTTTTCCTCCAAACATAACGATGGTCATTATGGCCAAACAGTTCTATTTTTGTTTCATCAGACCAGAGGACATTTCTCCAAAAGGTACGATCTTTGTCCCCATGTGCAGTTGCAAACCGTAGTCTGGCTTTTTTATGGTGGTTTTGGAGCAGTGGCTTCTTCCTTGCTGAGCGGCCTTTCAGGTTACGTCGATATAGGACTTGTTTTACTGTGGATATAGATACTTTTGTACTTGTTTCATCCAGCATCTTCACAAGGTCCTTTGCTGTTAATCTGGGATTGATTTGCATTTTTCGCACCAAAGTACGTTCATCTCTAGGAGACAGAACGCGTCTCCTTCCTGAGCAGTATTACATTTACATTTTAGTCATTTAGCAGACGCTCTTATCCAGAGCGACTTACAGTTAGTGAATACATATATATATATATATTTTTTTATACTGGCCCCCCGTGGGAATCAAACCCACAACCCTGGCGTTGCAAACGCCATGCTCTATCAACTGAGCTACATCCCTGCCGGCCATTCCCTCCCCTACCCTGGACGACGCTGGGCCAATTGTGCGCCGCCCACGAGTCTCCCGGTCGCGGCCGGCTGCGACAGAGCCTGGATGCGAACCAGGATCTCTAGTGGCACAGTTAGCACTGCGATGCAGTGCCTTAGACCACTGCGCCACTCAGGTGAGTATGATGGCTGCGTGGTCCCATGGTGTTTATACTTGCGTACTATTGTTTGTACAGATGAACGTGGTACCTTCATGCGTTTGGAAATTGCTCCCAAGGATGAACCAGACTTGTAGAGGTCTACAATTTTTTTTCTGAGGTCTTGGCTGATTTCTTTTGATTTTCCCATGATGTCAAGCAAAGAGACACTGAGTTTGAAGGTAGGTCTTGAAATACATCCACAGGTACACCTCCAATTGACTCAAATTATGTCAATTAGCCTATCAGAAGCTTCTAAAGCCATGGAATTTTCCAAGCTGTTTAAAGGCACAGTCAACTTAGTGTATGTAAACTTCTGACCCACTGGATTTGTGATACAGTGAATTATAAGTGAAATAATCTGTCTGTAAACAATTGTTGGAAAAATTACTTGTGTCATGCACAAAGTAGATGTCCTAACCAACTTGCCAAAACTATAGTTTGTTAACAAGAAATGTGTGGAGTTGTTGAAAAACGAGTTTTAATGACTCCAACCTAAGTGTATGTAAACTTCCGACTTCAACTGTAGATTTAAATTAAGGTATCATTAACTGAATAGCAACAACAAATATACAAGATTTCTTAATCAACCAGAAAATCAACAGTTACATGTGGCTGTTTATCAAAGTTAGCTAGCTAATTTAATAATCCTGTTTTCTGGAATACCCAACAGCTTGCCATTTACACGAGCGAGGTATCCATTATCGAAATGGCCGTCCAACAACTGGAGGAGGAGAACCTTCAGCACGAGTCAACTGTTTGAGCATTGCCTGGATAACCTGCAAATCTCTAGGTCCCTTCAACACAACTCTTCACCCACATTCAGATAGATGGCCATTTGTCCTGATGTATTAGCAGCATTAAATAATAGGCTACTATCGCTATCGTTTCACTGACTGTCTCATTGTGTGACATGACATGTAACATTAGAACGAAACTGGAAAGCCTGGTCCCAGATCAGTTTGTGGTCGTTGTCATGCCTTTTTTTGGCAAGACAGCACAAACAGATCTGGGACAAGGCAATCAATTCTATGCGATGCTATTCTACTCATCCACTCACCTGTGGTAAGACAGCGCTCTCCTTGCTTTCCACCTGTGGTCTCACTTATCTCTCTGCTGTTCTGTCCACAGAAATGTCTTCCTGACTCAAGCGGAAGGACTGGTACCCTCTGACTCCTCAGAACAGGAGACCATCATGAAGAGGAACGCTCTCCGTGGCCCACCATCAGGTGATGATAATGTTTATTTTTATTTTTTGACAAATCCTTGTACAAATAGCAGCAAAAAGCTGAATTAAAAGTACAACTTACAATATAATGATTAAATACAAATTATTACAAGTTAACAAAACATTGTAAATATACTAAACAAAGCCATCTTCAACTGTTTAGCAGGCGAACCAATGGGATGGCACTGCAACGATAGCTCGGCTAGATTTAGGATGTCTTTCCAATTGAAATTATCAATATTTTTTTGTTGTTGCTAAAAGTGATGACATTTGTCCAGTAGTGTTGCTCCTTGACTAGAAGCAGGGAAGACCACAAGTAGTGATTCCTTGTCACTTTTGGAGTTTGTCTGTGCAACTGTTGCTGCCACTGTATTGAGGGGAACTTTCCTATGATGATTGCTTTACTAACCAATCTGACCATAAGTGGGCACCAGTGTGCCACTGGGATGTGACTCAGTGGCACGGGAAGCCACTGAGTCACACCCCCCTTCCCAAGACTATTTGGCAACACTCAGCTCAACTCAAGATAAAAACAATGGCTACCACTAGTACGTTCCTGTCTTGGAATGTGGTGCTTTCATTTACTGAGCTTCTAATTATTTTCGCCCCTAACCCGATTGTCTCCATGATGGGTACTGTACGTGCTTTTATTTTTCAGTCAATGACTGTTGTAATTTGAACCCCCTCCCCCCTTCTAATGATTTTCATGGTTCCCACCAGACAGGGTGAGCAACAGCCCCGTATCTCCCCTCCACCCAGAAACGGAAGCATAGCAGGCTCAGAAGCAGGCCAAAGAGCTGGAGTGGGATGAAAGCAGCAGCAGCTGCAGCCCACAGGCCAACAGAGGACCTCAGTGTGCTACTGTATGGCAGCCAGACCCACCTGCAGGCAAGACCCGTTGGGGCCACCTCAGGCCATTCTCGTATTCAACACTTCAGCTGGAGACGAAATATAATTGATCTCTAGATGTCCATGGGCGTATCTCAATAATCATGTGGTTTCCTCTACTTGCTTTTCCTCCATTTTCTTAGTAGCCAAAGTCCAATAGAAAGATAAAGCTGTGCTGGCAGCCTCCAGTGTCATCTGTCTATGGATATATAGGTCAGCCTCAGCTGAGGGGCAGCACAAGCTAAAGTTTGTAACTAAATATTACAGCACTTTGTGGCTTGGGTTGGGTGTTCCTTACGCATGCTGCTAAATCCCAGCTATAAGCCCACCTGATTCACTTGTGATAACACTTCATTTGGGAATTTTCATCTACCCACAGTATTGAAGAGAACATTATTTCAGTAAGGTGCTAAAACAAAGTAATGTAAGTGACATAGAGCTTGGCTATCCTTTGACAAATATGCCATTCAGTTTAGACTCAGAAGGTACTGAATCAGACATTCAGCTCTTTATTGAATCCTCCCCCCACAAAAAGTCCCAGGGACAGAGGCTTTGGAGAGTGAAGGGAGAGGGACGGAGGGAGAGGGGTGGGTGGAGAGAGAGAGCCTTAGGGATTGCCTCTGTGCCACTTCCATTTGGCAGTGGACGCAATCGAGACAGAGTAGCGATCTGAGAGTAACAATCTCTTTCCTTGTTGCGATGGGAAATCTCAGGCAAACAGGATGCATCTCTTATATGAGACTACTTCTCCCTTTGTCTCCCTTCCCCCTCTCTGTGCTGTCCAGCAGGGATACATGCACCTGGGACCTCTGAAGCAGAGTGTGGTGGGCCCTTCCCCATCCGAGACCCCTGGCTCCGAAGGCTCCTCCTCAGCCCCAGGGATGCTCCAGGCTCCTGAGAACTAGCCACAAGAGGTTCAAGAAGCCAGGCCCAAGCATGCATTCACACACTTTTGTAAATCTAGCATTGGCCTCCCATTAAACTACAAAGCAAGGGTCCGGGAATGTTTTCTTAACAAATATTATGCTTCACAGGGTTAAATCAGCCCTGGTTATAACCTGGTGGAATTAGAGGGATGTATTAGTATCCCTCTTCACCAAATATAAAACCCATCTACCTCATTTGGGCACTCAATACTTTTTTATTTCACCTTTATTTAACCAGGTAAGCCAGTTGAGAACAAGTTCTCATTTACAACTGCGACCTGGCCAAGATAAAGCAAAGCAGTGCGATAAAAACAACAACACAGAGTTACATATGGGGTAAAACAAAACATAAAGTCAAAAATACAACAGAAAATATATATATATACAGTGTGTGTGAATGTAGTAAGTTATGGAGGTAAGGCAATAAATAAATAGGCCATAGTGCAAAAATAGTTACAATTTCGTAATTAACACTGGAATGATAGATGTGCAAAAGATGATGTGCAAATAGAGATATTGGGGTGCAAATTAGCAAAATAAATAACAATATGGGGATGAGGTAGTTGGGTGGGCTAATTTCAGAATGGCTGTGTACAGATGCAGTGATCGGTAAGCTGCTCTGACAACTGACGCTTAAAGTTAGTGAGGGAAATAAGAGTCTCCAGCTTCAGAGATTTTTGCAGTTTGTTCCAGTCATTGGCAGCAGAGAACTGGAAGGAATGGCCAAAGGAGGGGTTGGCTTTGGGGATGACCAGTGAGATATACCTGCTGGAGCGCATACTACGGGTGGGTGTTGCTATGGTGACCAATGAGCTAAGATAAGATGGGGATTTGCCTAGCAGTGATTTATAGATGACCTGGAGCCAGTGGGTTTGGCGACAAATATGTAGTGAGGGCCAGCCAACAACAGCGTACAGGTCACAATGGTGGGTAGTATATGGGGCTTTGGTGACAAAACGGATGGCACTGTGATAGACTACATCCAATTTGCTGAGTAGTGTGTTGGAGGCTATTTTGTGCATGACATCGCCGAAGTCAAGGATCGGTAGGATAGTCAGTTTTACTAGGGCATGTTTGGCAGCATGAGTGAAGGAGGCTTTGTTGCGAAATAGGAAGCCGATTCTAGATCTAACTTTTGATTGGAGATGCTTAATGTGAGTCTGGAAGGAGAGTTTACAGTCTAACCAGACACCTAGGTATTTGTAGTTGTCCACATATTCCAAGTCAGACCCGCCGAGAGTAGTGATTCTAGTCGGGTGGGCGGGTGCAAGCAGCGTTTGGTTGAAGAGCATGCATTGAGCAGTTGGAGGCTACGGAAGGAGTGTTGTATGGCGTTGAAGCTCGTTTGGAGGTTTGTTAACAGTGTCCAATGAAGGGCCAGATGTATACAAAATGGTGTTGTCCGCATAGAGGTGGATCCGAGCGCCACCAGCAGCAAGAGCAACATCATTGATATACACAGAGAATAGAGTCGGCCCGAGAATTGAACCCTGTGGCACCCCCATAGAGACAGCCAGAGGTCCAGACAACAGGCCCTCCGATTTGACACATTGAAATCTATCTGAGAAGTAGTTGGTGAACCAGGCGAGGCAGTCATTAGAGAAACCAAGGCTATTTAGTCTGCCAATAAGAATGCGGTGGTTGACAAGAGTCGAAAGCCTTGGCCAGGTCGATGAAGACGGCTGCGCAGTACTGTCTTTTATCGATCGCGGTTATAATATTATATACTTATTCATTATTATCCATCATCCATTCACATACACACAAACTCAAGATAATGGGGCAAAACACTTTGTGGAAGCTGCACTTTATTGGAAAATCAACCAAAGTCTGCATACATACATTTATTTATATATTTAATATAAACAAAAATATAATCTGCAGGGACAATGCAGCAAATATTTGATGAATAGAATAACCTTCAGGTTCTGACCATCCTACACATATCCTTTCCATCATGGGATGGGCTCTCTTCTATATACACACACAAAGCACCGATCAACAGTGCTCCATTTCCCCCTGCTTAACTGGACCCTTTTGCCCACTTACCAGACATGGGATCAAATACTAAATAATTTCACACTATCTGTGCTTGATTGAGCTTGTCTGGCTTAATGGACCAATAGAATCGTCCCAAAACTGCTAACCCAGCCCATCTGGCACTCTAGACAGGCTAAAGCAAACAAAGTATTTAAAAGATGTCCAATAGTATTTAAACCCAGGTCTGCCACTTACACAGAGAGCTGACCCACCAGTGACACAACCACAACTTTTCCCCTGCCCTCTGTGAAGATCACCTCCCTTTTTCCCCCAACCCCAATGCTGGTCTATGTAAAGATGGTCCGAGCCTGAAGGACACTCTGCACATTCAGGTTGGAAAGGCAGCCATAGAATTTTTCCATGTATAATAAACGACATGCCAAGCGTAAAGCATAAATGCAGATCCATCCCAATGCAATGCCGCCAAATCACAAACGTAGTGCTTTGCTAGTGCGTGAAAATGTTCACCAAAAAAAAGACCATAGCTCACAGAATTGACTGTATTGAATTATTACCCTTGTTTGACTTCCATATCACCCCTTACACAGAGGGTTGTGACTTTGAGCCACAAAGAACTTTGCTTGACATTATGCCGGTTCAGTGATTAGAGCTAAACTGTCTGTTGACAGTCAGTTAAATTTTGTAATCTTTATATTAACAATTTTTTACTCTGTCACTCTCAAACTCCAATTATACAATCAATCATACCCATGTATAGACCTGAATACCTCCCACAACGAAGAGTTCAATGTCATTCGTTTTTCTTTTTCATTTCCTCCGTGGGTAATCATAAATAAATACTAACAATACACAAGGAATGTCTACCGCAAACGTAAAAACTTTTTTTAAAGAAAAAATATTGAAATCATGGTATAAACAGAAGTTAGCGTTACTAATCAATGATGGTTAAATTAGATAATGCACGATTGATGATCGGATCAAGCAATTCTTCCACTCGTCCCACCTGAACCCACGTCCTCACCCCAAGAGAACATCAAGCTGTGTGTGATTCCCACTATTTTCTTTATACATAACAGCAAAGTCAAATTATCTCCCTTACCAAACCCATGTTTATCTTTTACAGAAGACAAATGGGATGAGTGATCCCTGTAGAGGGGTTAGAACGGCAGCGCACACAGTTTTTCCTCGTAAGACAAATTACAAAATGAGATCCGTGTCCTATACTTGACGCCGCTTGGACATGGCTTCCCCCCCTTAATTCCTTCACAAGTCCTTCCTTATTTGGGCTGATATTCTGGACGATGAGTAAAAACAGCTAACTCGATTTTTACTTGAAAGTGAAAGTTTAGCTGCTTCATGGTTCGTCTTCGGAGGACAAAAGCCTCCCTTTCAGGTTACATGAACTGCATCTGCAGAGAGAAAGGTACAGGCCATGTTGAATGCATTCACTTTTTAAGAGGGATTATCATTCACAGCATTTGTATTAGAAAATAATTATGCCAAACAAGGTTGACACTCCTTGTTTTCCTTGAAAACAAACCATACTCCTTCACAATAAACATAGGCCAGAATACAATCAAAAAATAATTTGTGTTTTTTTTTCACACCGTGTGTTTGATGGAGGGCATTGACACTTTGATTCAGGAATCGCCAGTCCCGTGTCATGACCAGTTGAGCGGTCCTCCGGCATACAACAGGACTGACAATTCTTTAATCCAAAATGCCCTCCATCCAGGACATACTGCTGGCCAAATCCAACACGCACACACACACACACCTGAAAATTCAGTGCAGAAAAATTTATTGAATTCTGGCCTCATTTAGATTTCATTCGATGCAAATGTGATGTATGCATTGAAGATAACAGAAAACAAATAAATAAATAAAGTCAATTCCAGCATGATAAACAAACATATAGGGCTGAAGTCCTCTCTTAACAATGTTTTATTTCCCCTTTGTCATAGAATTATCAAAAATAAACTATATTACTCAAATACGTGGTGGCATTTAACAATAAACTTCCACAAGATAATATATGCAAATGTTGGTTTGATATTTGATGCAAACCAATGGGGCTGTGTTTTAAAAGGTTTATCAAGTGAGATATGGTTTAATAACAGCACTACTTTTATTACGCTGTCAAAATGTCACATGGACCAATGTACTTTTTGAAAAGTGTCATTTCGCAGTCTAGGTCAGACTTCTGTGCAGACATGCAAGGAATCTTACAGGTGGTTGAGTGATTATGAAGGGATTGACTGAGCCAATGTTAGGCGTTGAAGCACACATAAATCAACAAAACCCACTGTGTACACGGCAAGCAGAGCAGAAGTTTGCAGATATGACCATGCAGCGCACACACAGAGACACGCACACACAGGACATGTACCTAAAGATGTTCTACAAGAAATCCTTGAGAGAGAGCTGTGCAAAGGGGTCCTTTCCTGGCGCTCTGAGAGGACTCTGACTGGATGGACTAGAAGCTGCCGAGGGCTAGTTCAGAGAGAATGACAGGGTGAGGGGAAATCGAGCAACAGCTAAAGAGGGGAAAACCTAGCTAGAGATTTAAAGGGAGTAGAATGGAGAGAACAGGGTCAGGTCCAGAGTGTAGCTGCCTGGAGGTCGACCTTACAGCTCGTGACATGAGGACAGCAGATCAGAGTATCGTGTCAAAAAAGAAACCCTGCTCACAAGATATATTCTCCAGGTTGCTACCATTCTGATTTACAACCTGCTGAAGAGATGAGGGTGTACATATCCCATTCTAAAGACTGTTGACATGCCAGCAACTACATTTTCACATTTACATTTTAGTCATTTCGCAGGTGCCCTTGTCCATAGCGACTTACAGTAGTGAGTGCATGCATATATTTTCATAACATTGCTGAAATGGCACGAGGGTGAATGTGGAAGCGCATTCTGAATAGAAGTCCCAAAGCACAGAATTCCTATTGCCCTCCGGAATAGAATTCCTTAGGTTACTTGCCACATTACACCATTTAACAGTGATATATGGAATACCCATGTGTGTATTCCAATACCAATTTAATGGTGAATGGGTTGTGGGGCTGGACAATGCTTCCTGCAGACAGATTTTTTCCATACAGACAACAGGCAGACCACCTCAGTGGGAGTTAAAGTTACATTTGGCAACAGAATCAGACAGATAGCAGGGCTCAATTCAAATTTTGGAAATCAACTGAAATAAACTTGCAGAATTTAATTGGAATTTATCCTATTCTGATAAATACTAGTTTGAGAACGTGGACAATTTAGCCAGGCTCCTCTCCTCCGAAAGCAGGAAGAGTTGGGATCCGCTCTGGGGTGACATTTCCCCTAGGTACAGATCTAGGAACAGCTTCCCCTCACCCAATCCCAACCATAACCATTAGTGGGGGAAATTCTAAACTGACCCGAGATCAGTGTCTAGGGAGCAACTTCACCCTACTCCTTGGCATCCGTTCAGATGAAAGCTACTGGGGAAGGGAGTAGAATGGAGAGCACCAGTACCTGTGCTGCTGGGGCCTGGCCAAAGGGGTTGGCCGGCCTCATGACCGGTTGGCTGTACATCATGGTGGGCTGGTTCATCATGGCCATGGAACCCATCTGGGGAGGCTGAAGGAAGATAAACAAGCAAACAAAATTAAAAAAGCCATCCTGCTGAAGAAATGGCAATCATTCTGACATAACTGCTCGTGTTATTTCAGTGACACATGACGGGTTACGTAGTAGTACGATGTCTCAGTCTCAAGCGCAGTGTAATTTGAACAGAACAAATCATTGTTCAAGTTGTCCTCAGCTGATTTAACTCTGGTTACTAATTAACTATAGTTCAAATATACAGCAGCTCCGTAATGAGACGAGCACTGGGCAGTAAAAGTTAACCGCTACAGCTGAATCCGCCCATCTTGTGATGCATTTTGAGAGTATGAGTAGCGCTTGGCATCGTCAATCATTACAAGACATTTCTGTCACTTTTCCCATTTGATTCGTCATGGACCTTTTGGCTCGTCTGTGGATGTAGAAATTAACGAGAACATAGTCTACACTATACTGTGCAATACACTGTCACAAATTGGTTCTAGTGTCACATGTTTCAAAAGCCAAACACTGATTAAAAACACAAGGTATTCCCCATAGAAAGAATGAATAGAACGGGCTTGGAACCTCTAGCCCGGGCAATTTGACTGGTAAACTCATGGGTACACTCGCAATGGCTGCCTGGTATTGTGGTGCAATCATTTCCATGGTAATGTAGAATATTCATTCAAATGATCTTAACTGATGTGGCTCATGCAATGGAATATATTTTTTGTAATGTCAGTTGAGTTGAATCAACAAATAACAGCACATATTGATGGGTACACTTCCTGATTTTCTCCTATGGCCGCCAGTCCAGCCATTATGTCATCATTGACTTGAATGGGGACGCCCGTTCTATTCATTCTATTTCTATGGTATACATGCAGTAAAGAGGTCAATCGAACTCGACCAAAACAATGGAAAAGCGTGGGGGAAAGATCCTGTGGGGGAAAGATCCCGAATCTCCTCATTACCCCCCCCCCCCCAGCAAAATGTGCCTACAGTTAGTGTGAAATACACATATAGACAATAACCTATGTTGAGGTAAAAATCGAAGTATAATGCTTGTATGGTTGTCAACCCCAATACATGTCCATGTCATCTTAACCAATCAACTGCATTACAGTTACCAACAACTGACTACCACGACCAATTTCTAAGTGCTAGCTATGCCACCAGCTTATACGAATGGGAGTTAGCATTTAGCAGTCACTTCTTCTAAACTTCTAAATGTTATGCAGCGAAAACAGCTAAATGTATATCCAAATGGGACTTTAGGAACCACATTGTGGGCCTGTTAGAATACAGTACATCAATCATGACGGACACAGTGTAGTGGCACTTTGGTCTGTAGGAGCAGCAGCTCTTTTAACCCCCACAATATAACACCTGCTGAAAACAGCACAAGCTCTTGGATGGTCATGGAATTCCACGGTCAATGACATTTCGGATGACCGCACAAATGCCCGTCCGTCCAGTCTTCAGTCGGCTGTTCATTCCACAAAAATAATAAATTTAAAAAACGGTTATGTCAGTTATTTTATTTTCATGACGGTCTTCATCCATAATCATCGGTTACACGATTATACGGTACTTGTGCCACCCCTACACTTGTGCTGCTGCAGTGTTATGCTGGTGACATTTTATATTTTAAATCATTGTAAGGAGTTGGCCTTATAGCTTCTTTAAAAGTACAGGAATGGACACCTTAGCATTGGAAAGGCCTATATTCATATAAGGCCTGTATGCTGATATAGGATCAGGCCCCCTGTGTCCATCTAAAAGACTAAACTGAACCTACTATGAGACGCTTTATGAACCCGGGCCCCTGGAGTGAATCAGAAGTAAATCCAGCAAACAACAATTTTCATTGGTTCAAAGTAAAAGTGGAATGATCATTTTTTGCTGACAAAAGGCTTAGAGACGTAATCAACATCAATTAATGTCCTGAAAGAGGTATTGATAAAGCTCAGCTACAGTATGGTGCAACATTCTCAGAACGTGTAAAAATTAAAAGTTAAATATAGATATACAGTACCAGTCAAAAGTTTGGACACACCTACTCATTCCAGGGTTTCTTTATTTTTACTATTTTCTACATTGTAGAATAATAGTGAAGACATCAAAACTATGAAATAACACATATGGAATCATGTAACCAAAAAAGTGTTAAACAAATTATATTTCAGATTCTTCAAATAGCCACCCTTTGCCTTAATGACAGCTTTGCAAACTCTTTTTTATTTTTTTTATTTTTTATTTATGGAATGGATCAGCTTAATATTGCAGATAGATTGTATCTTCTATCAATGTAATTGTCTGCATCACTTCCAATCCCCCATGTTTTTTTGTTTAGTTTTTTTTATATATATACTCCCCTTCATTACTTTTCAACCCCACCATCCTTTCCCTACTTGGAGTAAATTAGTGAACAACAATGCCCAGGCCTCTACTTCCGGTCTATACTTACTATCTACACCTTATGGACAGAGTTAATTTTACAATAATTCTATTATATATATATATATATATCTATATATATATATATATTTCTTTTTTTATTTTAATTTTTTTGCTCCTGAACTTCTTCTACTCTCAACCTCTCCGATCATTTTCATGATGTCCATCCGGTTTGCTTCTATATGCCATATCTTTCTAACTGTGCTCTTTCCCAAAAGCTCCCAACATACAACCTATATACTTATTATGGACACAGTATGCTTACATTATTAGCTATCTTTGTTATTATTTGTTGTTATTTGTTATTAGTCCCATCCTTCAACTCTATTCAATACCTCCCATCTATCTCTTAACACCATCCATATAGGATTTCTATTTGCCATATATATTTCAACCGTACTGTGATGTTTTACAAAAGTTCTGAACCTTTCTATTCTCATTGCTTCTACAGATTGTGAATTAAAAATAAACATTTTTGCTAAAAGTATTATTATATTATTGATTGATTGACTATGACTTTTCAGATCACCCAGTAATGCTATCTGCAAGGTTAGCTCCAGGTAAATATTGCAATCCTTTAGCCATTCCTGGACCTGTGTCCAAAAACAAGCTACAAATGGACAGAACCAAAACAAATGATCTAATGATTCTGTCTCTTCACAGCAAAATCTGCAGAGCTGGGAAGATTGTATCCCCCATATAAATAACATTCTATTGGTAGCAAGAATTTTATATAATAATTTAAATTGAAAGATTCTAATTTTTGAATCCGGTGTCGTTTTGCGTGTCAGTTCATAAACACTATGCCATGGGATCGGTACGTCAAAGATCTCTTCCCAACTATTTTGCAATCTATATGGGACGGCTGTCAATCCTTTGGTCCTTAAGTGAAACTGATATACTTTTTTATTTATCACAGTTTTCCTTAACCAATTATGTTCTTTAATGCAAGGCCGACAGACAAGTTCCTTACTTTCTCCCCCTTCCACTTTTGCGGTAAGGCTGCAATTATTTGGTTGTAATTTTGGGTAGAGCAGACATTTCCATATGTTTTTGTTAGCTGCATGTGCGACATAACTCCACCAGTCCTACCGATGATATCATTTACGAAGATTATACCTTTTTTAAACTTTGTCAAAAAATAAAGGTTTTTTGTCAATTAGTATATTTGAATTTAACCACAATATTTGTTGCATTATTTGTTCTGTCGTTTCTGGAGGATTAAATTGAAATTGCAACCAACTTTCTATGGCTTGTTTTAGAAATAGTGATATTTGGGAGATGATTTCCTTTTCAAATAACTGCAAATGAGTTGTTGTAATCTGAATAAAGGGAAAAAGGCCTTTCTTGAACATTGGGTGAGACAATCTTACTAATTTGCTTGAGAACCAGTTCGGATTTAAGTATAACTTTTGTATGACTGAAGCTTTTAGTGATAGGTCTAATGCTTTAATATTTAATTTCTGTCCTCCGAATTCATATTCATTATATAAATATGCCATTTTAATTTTGTCTGGCTTGCCGTTCCAAATAAAATTGAATATTTTTTTTCTCATATAATTAAAAAAAACTGTTAGCTTTGCAAACTCTTGGCATTCTCTCAACCAGCTTCATGAGGTAGTCACCTGGAATGCATTTCAATTAACAGGTGTGCCTTCTTAAAAGTTAATTTGTGGAATTTCTTTCCTTCGTAATGCGTTTGAGCCAATCAGTTGTGTTGTGACAAGGTAGCCCCCCCTATACAGAAGATATCCCTATTTGGTAAAAGACCAAGTCCAAATTATGGCAAGAACAGCTCAAATAAGCAAAGAGAAACGACAGTCCATCATTACTTTAAGACATGAAGGTCAGTCAATACGGAACATTTCAAGAACTTTGAAAGTTTCTTCAAGTGCAGTCGCAAAAACCATCAAGCGCTATGATGAAACTGGTTCTCATGAGGACCGCCACAGAAATGGAAGACCCAGAGTTACCTCTGCTGCAGAGGATAAGTTCATTAGAGTTACTAGCCTCAGAAATTGCAGCCCAAATAAATGCTTCACAGAGTTCAAGTCACAGACACATCTCAACATCAACTGGTCAGAGGGGACTGTGTGAATCAAATTGCTGCAAAGAAACCACTACTAAAGGACACCGATAAGAAGAAGAGACCTGCTTGGGCCAAGAAACAAGAGCAATGGACATTAGACCGGTGGAAATGTGTACTTTGGTCTGGAGTCCAAATTGGAGATTTTTGGTTCCAACCACCGTGTCTTTGTGAGACGTGGTGTGGGTGAACGGATGATCTCCGCATGTGTGGTTCCCACCGTAAAGGATGGAGGAGGTGGTGTTATGGTGTGGGGGTGCTTTGCTGGTGACACTGTCTGTGATTTATTTAGAATTCAAGACACACTTAACCAGCATGGCTACCACAGCATTCTGCAGCGATACGCCATCCCATCTGGTTTGGGCTTAGTGGGACTATCATTTGTTTTTCAACAGGACAATGACCCAAAACACCTCCAGGCTGTGTAAGGGCTATTTTACCAAGAAGGAGAGTGATGGAGTGCTGCATCAGATGACCTGGCCTCCACAATCCCCCGACCTCAACCCAATTGAGATGGTTTGGGATGAGTCGGACGGCAGAGTGAAGGAAAAGCAGCCAACAAGAGCTCAGCATATGTGGGAATTCCTTCAAGACTGTTGGAAAAGCATTCCAGGTGAAGCTGGTTGAGAGAATGCCAAGCGTGTGCAAAGCTGTCATCAAGGCAAAGGGTGGCTATTTGAAGAATCTCAAATATATTTTGATTTGTTTAACACCTTTTTGGTTACTACATGATTCCATATGTGTTATTTCACAGTTCTGATGTCTTCACTATTATTCTACAATGTAGAAAATAGTAAAAAATAAAGAAAAACCCTTGAATGAGTAGGTGTCCAAACTTTTGACTGGTACTGTATATAAATTATATAAAAAGGGTTCCGAAGCATGGCTTCATGAGATTGAAAAGATAAACCCCCCCCCCCCACTTACCATTCCATATGCCATCATTCCCGTTGGCGTCGTTGCAGGGAAGGCCATGACAGATGGTGCCTGAGATGACATGAGCAAAGATGATCACTCACTGAACCAGGACACTTTTACAGAAAGTTAGCATATAACTGACTGCATATAACATGACTAAAGACTCTTTGGATAAAAGTGTCTAAGTTGCAGTGCCTATATAAAGTCTACACCCCCTTGAACTTTTTTCACATTTTGTTGCGTTACGAAGTGGGATTGAAATAGATTTAATTGTAGTTTGTCATTGATCTACACAAAATACTCCATAATGTCAAAGTGAAAAGAAAATTCTAAATGTTTTAAAAATTCATAAAAATGTACTAACCAAAATAGTTGCATAAGTATTCATCCCCTTGGTTTATGCGAGCCTAAATTAGTTCCAAAGTCTTATTTGGCTTAACAAACCACATAAGTTATATGGACTCACTCTGTATGAAATAATAGGGGTTGACATGATTTTTGAATGACTAACCCTTCCTCTGTCCCTCAGTCAAGTATTGAATTTCAAGCACAGATTAAACTACAAAGACCAGGGAGCTTTTCGAAAGCCTCAAAGGTCAGTGATTGGTAGCAATAACAAATTGGACATTGAATATATCTTTAAGCATGGTCAAGTTAATAATTATGCTGTGGATTATGTATTAAACCACCCAGACACAAAGATACAGTCGTCCTTCTGAACTGAGATGCAGAATAGGAAGGAAACTGCTCAGGGATGTCACCATGAGGCCAATGGTGATTTTAAAACAGGTACAGAGTTCAATGGCTGTGATGGGAGAAAACTGAGGCTGGATCAACAACATTGTAATGACTCCACAATAATGACCTAAATGACAGAGTGAAAAGAATACAAATATACAGAATACAAATATTCCAAAACATGCATATGTATGTAACAAGGCACTAAAGTAATACTGCAAAAAACACAGGAAAGGAATACACTTTCTGGCCTAAATAAAAAGCCTTATGTTTGGGGAAACTCCAACAACACGTCACTGAGTAACAGCCTCCTTATTTTATTTTTTGTTGCCCCAACGGGCTCGGGAGAGACGAAGGTCGAGTCAATGCGTCCTCCGAAACATGACCCGCCAAGCCACGCTTCTTAACACCTGCTCGCTTAACCGGAAGCCAGCTGCACCAATGTGTCGGAGGAAACACCTTTTCAACTGACGACCGAAGGAGTGGCTATAGCGCGATGAGCCAAGTAAAGCCCCCCCGGCCAAACCCTCCCCTAACCCGGACGACACTGGGCCAATTGTGCGGCGCCCTATGGGACTCCCGGTCGAACCCCAGGCTGTAGTGACGCCGCGATGCAGTGCTTTAGACCGCTGCGCCACTCGGGAGGCCACTGCCTCCTTATTTTCAAGCACAGTAGTGGCTGCATCATGGTATGGGTATGTTTGACATCGGCAAAGACTGGGGAGTTTTTCAGGATGAAAAGAAAAGGGATGGAGCTAGCACAGGCAAAATCCTAGAGGAAAACCTGCTTCACACCAGTCACTGGGAGAGGAATTCACCTTTCAGCAGGACAATAACCTACAACACAAAGCAAAATCTACACTGGAGCTGCTTACCAAGAAGACAGTGAATGTTCCTGCTTGAAAATCTATGTCAAGACTTGAAAATTGCTGTCTAGCCATGATCCCGAACAACTTGACAGAGCTTGAAGAATTTAAAAAAATAATAATGGGCAAATATTGCACAATACAGGTGTGCAAAGCTCTTATGAGACTTACCCAAGGAGACACAGATGTAATCACTGCCAAAGGTGTTTCTAACATGGGTTTGAATACTTCTCAATGAAGTTATATTAGTATTTTATTTTTCATTCACCTTAAAAGAGTGTTGTGTAGATCGTTGACAAAAAATTACAATTAAATCAATTTGAATACCACTTTGTAACACAAAATGTGAAGAAATCCAAGGGGAGTGTCAACTTTCTATAGGCACTGTAACTTAGTGTAAATAAAGACAGTTTAATATTAATGTTTATTTAGTTAATGAATCACTTTTACAAAATAACAGGTGCAAACAACCCACCTCTCAGACAAGCTACAATTGTCCAATTCACATGCAACACTTTAGGTGTCATTGCCTGCCTGCTTCCACTTTGGCAAGACTAATGGAACATCTGGGAGACATTTTTTGCATGCCTGTCCTTATTTCCCCTAGTTTCCCCTTAGTGTATGTTAGGGCTAACCAGAAAAGCTACGTGGGAGTCTTAAGCACAGAGAGAGCCCTGAAGCAAGAAGCTGTTACTTGCAGGTGCAGAGCTGCTCTGCTGAAAAAGACAGAGGGGGGCTTTTATAGAGGAACTGCTAGACTATCAAACAGCCCCCACAGTAGTAAGTAACAAACCCCGATTTGTTACAACATCACAGGCCATTCAGTTGCGTGAAAAGGGACACTTGTGAAGGACATTTTTAAAATCAGCAATCAAGCCATTGGAAAGGGGTCAGAATTAACAAGTGGACGTACATAAAGCATAAATGTTGGTGTCATTACATAGTCAGCACTTGTTTCGAACATCCAAAAGGCCTTTTTCAACTTCTCACATTGATCACAAATGCTTTGCATAAAAGCATTCTCAGCAGGCAATATTTAGGTCATTGCAGACATTTGCTTGAATAGGAAAATATGGAGGATCACCAGATACTATTTAGAATGAAAAATGACTGATTTCCATTTGGTCATTGAAAGGAGGTGCTGTGTGGAATAATTTTAGAATTTGACTGTTGATGTTATCCGAGTTGAGCAAGAATGAACTTTATACAAATCAGGGGGTGATAACCAAATCGGGGTAGAGTATGTCTCGCTAGACAGCTTTGACACTGTGCTAGATAGGCTCCCAGCCAACATGCTGTTTTGCACACTGTTCAGAAGAAACAACCACGAGGGGAGAGCGAGGAAAAGCCTTACGGCAAAGTAATATTTGGTGAAAACGTAGCAAAAAAAAAAAGGTGAGAGTTATCAACCATGCAGTTACCTAAGATCATACCCCAGTTTCTCTTTTAAAATCAGACTCGTCCATATCAAGACAAATATACCATGGTCTTTCGGTATATTTCCATAAGTGTTCACTTGATAATAGCGGAAACTTTTTTCTTCTTTTTTTCCTGAATGCTACCCACTCACTAAACACACAATTTTTTGGGAAACCCTTCACTTGAGTCATTAGGCTACATTTTGTCACGGCTCTCATGTCATGTTATAACTGTCATGTCACAACAGTTATGTCATTATTATACAGGCAGTATGTGACCTCATGACGCAGGCTCTGAGTAAGGTGTGACCAGAAGTTCAATAAAAAAGACAAAGGATGCGTTGTTTTTTACAGTAGGTCTAACGACTGTCCATTGACACTTGTTCCACAGACACTTGTTGTTGTCAGACCTAGTATAGACCAGCCTCTGGAGAACAAAGGGCTACAATATGGAGGAGAGGAAAGTCATGACAGGACAGGTCATGCTGTGGTATCTGTGTTAGATTGAGGTCAGCAGGTCATAAGAAGCCCACGGTGCAGACCACACAGGTCAGAGAAAACGTGGCTGGGTGAATGTGTGGGATTAATACCAGGCATGCCAGCTTTGGTCAAAGAGCAGGAAATGGTACAACCATTGAGACTTACGTATTGTGGGAAATGCATGCCTTTCTGTATTTTTTTCCCCAGGACAACATTTACACAATGCAACAGACATGAGACACAGATTAGAAAATATTGTAACAATGTTTAGTGAACACAGAGCAAAACAACCACACACACAAGGCAGTTGGAGCTTTCTGTCCATATGATCTGCATGCATCAGGAACTTAAACCAAGCAGTGTTTGCATTGGATAAACAATTCCCAACGCAGATGAGGAAATAGCTACAGTTGAAGTCAGAAGTTTACATACACCGTAGCCCAATATATTTAAACTCAGTTTTTCACAATTCCTGACATTAATCCTAGTAAAAATTCCCCGTCTTAGGTCAGTTAGGATCACCACTTTCTTTTAAGAATGTGAAATGTCAGAATAATAGTAGAGAGAATGATTTATTTCAGCTTTTATTTCTTTCATCACAATCCCAGTGGGTCAGAAGTTAGTATACACTCAATTAGTATTTGGTAGCATTGCCTTTAAATTGTTTAACTTGGGTCAAACGTTTCGGGTAGCCTTCCACAAGCTTCCCACAATACGTTGGGTGAATTTTGGCCCATTCCTCCTGACAGAGCTGGTGTAACTGAGTCAGGTTTGTAGGCCTCCTTGCTCGCACACGCTTTTTCAGTTCTGCCCACACATTTTCTATAGGATTGAGGTCAGGGCTTTGTGATGGCCACTCCAATACCTTGACTTTGTTGTCCTTACGCCATTTTGCCACAACTTTGGAAGTATGCTTGGGATCATTGTCCATTTGGAAGACCCATTTGCGACCAAGCTTTAACTTCCTGACTGATGTCTTGAGATGTTGCTTCAATATATCCACATAATTTTCCTTCCTCATGATGCCATCTATTTTGTGAAGTGCACCAGTCCCTCCTGCAGCAAAGCACCCCCACAGCATGATGCTGCCACCCCCGTGCTTCACGGTTGGGATGGTGTTCTTCGGCTTGCAAGCTACCCCCTATTTCCTCCAAACATAACGATGGTCATTATGGCCAAACAGTTTTATTTTTGTTTCATCAGACCAGAGGACATTTCTCCAAAAGGTATGATCTTTGTCCCCATGTGCAGTTGCAAACTGTAGTCTGGCTTTTTTATGGCGGTTTTGGAGCAGAGGCTTCTTCCTTGCTGAGCGGCCTTTCAGGTTATGTCGATATAGGTCTCGTTTTACTGTGGATATAGATACTTTTGTACCCGTTTCCTCCAGCATCTTCACAAGGTCCTTTGCTGTTGTTCTGGGATTGATTTGCACTTTTCGCACCAAAGTACGTTCATCTCTAGGAGACAGAACGCGTCTCCTTCCTGAGCGGTATGACGGCTGCGTGGTCCCATGGGGTTTATACTTGCGTACTATTGTTTGTACAGATGAACGTGGTACCTTCAGGCATTTGGAAATTACTCCCAAGGATGAACCAGACTCTACAATTTTTTTTCTGAGGTCTTGGCTGATTTCTTTTGATTTTCCCATGATGTCAAGCAAAGAGGCACTGAGTTTGAAGGTAGGCCTTGAAATACATCCATAGGTACACCTCCAATTTACTCAAATGATGTCAATTAGCCTATCAGAAGCTTCTTAAGCCATGACATCATTTTCTGGAATTTTCCAAGCTGTTTAAAGGCACAGTCAACATAGTGTATGTAAACTTCTGACCCACTGGAATTGTGATAGTGAATTATAAGTGAAATAATCAGTCTGTAAACAATTGTTGGAAAAATTACTTGTGTCATGCAAAGTAGATGTCCTAACCGACTTGCCAAAGCTATAGTTTGTTAACAAGAAATGTGTGGAGTGGTTGAAAAACGACTTTTAATGACTCCAACCTAAGTGTATGTAAACTTCCGACTTCAACTGTAATTTCCTTTCATAAATCATATTATTCTATTTGATTTTATTAGGATCCATTAGCCAAAGCCAATGGCGACAGCTAGTCTTACAGGGGTCTGACATAACGAAAAAGACAGACAAAATACTTTACAATTTACATATATTTAAAAACATTAGCACGTAGTATGCATCTATCAGTTACACTTACATGTCAGTACATACACACAACAAGTAGTAGTATGATTAATATTGATAAATGAATTACATTTTTGTTATCAGAACTTTGGATACTATAGTAAAGAAAGACTTATCCCGAACAAACTTACCATGGTGGCAGGGTTCCATGTGGTAGAGGGAGCAGTTTTTGGTTGCCAATTGTATCCACCTGTCAACTTCTTCTCACCAGGGTGACTCCAATGAATATTACTACATAGGAAATGGAAATACTAATTATTTTCATTCAACTGCAACATATCAGTATGGTAAAAAATAACAACTTGTCATTCCAGTTCCGTTATCATTGCATTTTCTTACTTTTTTGCCACGCCATTTCCAATTCCCAAATCTAAAAAATAAAGATAATAAATTGTTAGTTGAGCACATAGAGCCACTGACTTGACAATCTCTCATTAAAATACACCAAAAGAGCTGGCAGGTGACACTTCATCTGGAAGCTGGTCTGCTAAAATGTTCAGTAATCAACAGCACATATGCAGTGAAGCGTTACAATATGGTAGGAGTAAGGAGCACGTTAATGATACATACTGCCCACAAGGTTGGCCAAGGACGAGTCCAGGTCGTCAGACACCAGCTTCCCAGGCTGCTGCCCGTTGGGGGTTAGCCCCTGGATGGGCGAGGAGGCCACTGTGGGTTCAAGGATGCCACCTAAAACATTATTAATAAAGGGGGGAGGGGGTAAAAGACGGGAAAGAGGACGTGGTTAACGTGAGCGAAGTGGGAAGCAGGTGTTGCACGTGAAAATGACATTAAGGTTGCTGGCGCAGTCCAGGACTAAGGAGTGTGTAGTCAACTCACCCAGTCATGCAAAAGCCAAGGCCCAAAGTGTGTGTTCACCCAATGAACAAGGGAGAGAAACAAAACAATGGTGAGATTGTGAGTGAAGCACCCCAAAACCCACACATTAGATACAGGTACAGTACCAGTGAAAAGTTTGGACACCTATTTTTACTATTTTCTACATTGTAGAATAATAGTTAAGACATCAAAACTATGAAAAAACACATATGGAATCCAAATATATTTTACATTTGAGATTCTTCAAAGTAGGTACCCTTCGCCTTGACAGCTTTGCACACTCTTGGCATTCTCTCAACCAGCTTCATGAGGTAGTCACCTGGAATGCATTTCAATTAACAGGTGTGCCTTAGTTAATTTGTGGAATTTCTTAATGCATTTGAGCCAATCAGTTGTGTTGTGACAAGGTAGGGGGGTATACAGAAGTTAATCCTATTTGGTAAAAGACCAAGTCCATATTATGGCAAGAACTGCTCAAATAAGCAAAGACAAACAAACAACAGTCCATCATTACTTTAAGACATGAAGGTCAGTCAATACGGAATATTTCAAGAACTTAAAAGTTTCTTCAAGTGCTGTCGCGAAATCCATCAAGCACTATGATGAAACTGGCTCTCATGAGGACCGCCACAGGAAAGGAAGACCCAGAGTTACCTCTGCTGCAGAGAATAAGTTCATTAGAATTAACTGCACCTCAGATTGCAGTCCAAATAAATGCTTCACAGAGTTCAAGTAACAGGCACATCTCAACATCAACTGTTCAGAGGAGACTGCGTGAATCAGGCCTTCATGGTCGAATTGCTGCAAAGACACCACTACTAAAGGACACCAATAAGAAGAGACTTGCTTGGGCCAAGAAACATGAGCAATGGACATTGAACCGGTGGAAATCTGTCCTTTGGTCTGACGATTCCAAATTGGAGATTTTTGGTTCCAACTGCCGTGTCTTTGTGAGACACAGAGTAGGTGAACGGATGATCTCTGCATGTGTGGTTCCCACCGTGAAGCATGGAGGTGGTGGTTTGATGGTGCTTTGCTGGTGACACTGTCTGTGATTTATTTAGAATTCAAGGCACACTTAACCAGCATGGCTACCACAGCATTCTGCAGCTATATGCCATTCCATCTGGTTTGCGCTTAGTGGGACTATCATTTGTTTTTCAACAGGACAATGACCCAAAACACACCTCCAGGCTGTGTAAGGGCTATTTGACCAAGAAGGAGAGTGATGGAGTGCTGCATTAGATTACCTGGCTCCACAATCACCCAACCTCAACCCAATTGAGATGGTTAGGGATGAGTATGACCGCAGAGTGAAGGAAAAGCAGCCAACAAGTGCTCAGCATATGTGGGAACTCCTTCAAGACTGTTGGAAAAGCATTCCTCATGATGCTGGTTGAGAGAATGCCAAGAGTGTGCAAAGTTGTCATGAAGGCAAAGGGTGGCTACTTTGAAGAATCTAAAATATATTTTGATTTGTTTAACAATTCTTTGGTTACTACATGATTCCATATATGTTATTTAATAGTTATGATGTGTTCACTATTATTCTACAATGTAGAAAATAGTAAAAATAAAGAAAACCCCTTGAATGAGTAGGTGTGTCCAAACTTTTGACTGGTACTGTACGTGTACATCCTTTGCTCTTCACTATATACTTTATTGAGCACCAAAAGGCACTTTTTGCTGCCAAATGCACCTTTCTGTGATGTGCTTATGACTTCGTAGGCAGAACTACTCAGGGGCAGAAGGCTATATTGAGAGAAGTTGAAATAGTGCCAATACTAATTTCCTAAACTCTTCCATTTCATGCAAGATTAGACAATGTGATGGAGGAATACAATGACAAATGTAGTATTGAATGTAGTGTTACGTTACAGTGTGAAGGTGAGGACAGCACTACCCTGAGTCTTTGGGTTCTGTTCATGACAAACTGTCATGTTCCAGGCCCCGGCAGTGGCAGTGACAGAGTTCAAGAAGTGCTAGCTAAAGGAGCTCGGAGGCACCGGAGCAGACCTTGAAAGGTCTGAAACCCGCCATGTCTCGAATGACGGACAGGTAATTGAAAATAGCGCATGCGAAACCCAGAGGGAAGGCTGCGCTTTCTATTGCAATATAGCAACATTTAAAAAAATAATGAATGCTTCTTTTGGAACATTTTGAAGCAAATCATTCATGACCATATTTCATGGTGGTACATTTTCTCAATCATTGATCAAGCACTCACTGCAAGTATTTTAAAGTATTTTCCAAAACATCCAAGCCCCAAGCTCAGCGATGGCCCATGAGGTGAGTTGGGCAGCAGTGTGGATGTGGCGGCCATGGGAGAAGCATTATGTTGCCCCTAGACCAGAGCTGCCCAACCCTGTTCCTGGAGAGCTACCCTCCTGAAGGTTTTCGCTCCAACCCCAGTAGTAACTAACCTGACTCAGTTTATCAACCAGCTAATTATTAGAATCAGGTGCGCTAGATTAGGGTTGGAGCGAAAACCTTCAGGATGGTAGCACCCCAGGAACAGGGTTGGCCAGGCCTGCCCTAGAAACTGATCTAAATGGGGCAGGGTAAGCTGATCCTAGATCTGTGCTGAAGGGTAACTTCTATGTGGAGCTTGTGCATGTGAAGAGAGGGGATGGGGAGTTGGGAGAGGTCGGGAATGTATGATCCTTACCAGCAGAGTCAACATTGTTGGCGGAGGCCGAGTTATTGCCAAACACAGAGTCAAAATCAACGTTAAGGCCTCTGGCGGTCTGGGGCTGCGTGGTGGAAGATGCTGAGAATCCTGGTTCAGAGGAAGCAAAAAAGTGTTGGGGCTGATAGTAGCGGAGGCATTAATCAAGCTAGTTTTATTTTCGGGCCAGAGAGTAGACAGGGGGCAGTGGGAATGGCAAGCCCCAGGTACCTACCTCCAAATAGACCAGGTACAGCAGGGGACTCAGACTGGAAGAGAGGAGTGGTAGGGTACAATGCTGGCCCACAGAAAGAGTCTGACACAACCAGAGGCAAGCAGTAGGGGAGAAAGGCAAAGAGATGGGGTTTTATAAACATGACTAGAAATAAAGAAAAACACAACAAATGAAAAGTATAGCTCCAGAAAATTAAGCAAGAAGAACATCAAGTCAAATAAAACATTTTTTTATCCATGCTCAGCAGTTTGAGAAAAAGGAAGAGCACTAACATTCTTCAAAAAGCCACCTCAAACAAATGCTAAATGCTAAAATGTTAGCACTAAAGGCAAACAGCACTCAGGGAAGCAACTAGACTAGAGCAAACATGATCCCGGCGTAGGTTCAGGGTCCTATGCTTACGGGGGTTTTCAGAAAACATAGGTCAGTCGGGTTCCCCGTCATGGTACCTGAGATAAACTGCCCTATCCGCACTGTGTGCTCATGATCAGATGCAATGGAAGAGCTCCAAACAATAAAGGGATTGTAATGATCTGGAGAATCAAAAATAAAATCAAAATTCAAGCAACAAAGTGTATTTTTTTCCATAACACTTTAAAAATGCAAAAACAAGAGACAGAAGTTGTAACGTTACATGCTATGAACAAACATAGGTAAGGAAACAGAGTGAAAGTACATCTTGTAAGGCCCAAGCTATAAATAACCTATTCAGTCAGCGGCAGGCCAGAATCTCCAGTGTCATGGCACAGTCAAACCAAAACAAATAATATATACAGTAACAGCAAGCTTTGACAAAGACCACACGGTTTAAATGCGTCAGCTTTTTAAACATACACAAAAGAGCACCATAAACTTAAAACCTTGTAGCTGTGGTCATTTATGGGAGATGCCATCACCTTTCCTTGTTTTTTGAATACCAAGGATCTACAATGACCAAGATAAACACCCGATTCCTGAAAAACCTTTAGTAGCATCATCACATCTAAATACTACATCACATACTGTATACACCCACACACAATGTGAACCGCACCAGACATTTACTGTTGAATTCTATATTCCCCTTCAGAATCCTGGAGTTCTGAAGCAAGCACTTATTTGACTCTGCATCAACTCAATGAAGGTTTTCACTGCATGATGCTACTTCAAGGGGCAATCTGTAGTGATCCATCCATTTTTGGATGTATACATTCATGATATGTACCCACTGAGTCTTGAAGAATATACCTTATAAATGCTCAATGAGCTTAGTTCAACTGTGGTACCCCATCAGAACCCAAAACATAACCTTGTTTTACTCCAATGTTTGTAAACAAAGTAAATATAAACAAACACTATATAGCCTCAAAACATGGTTAAAACGATAATTTTGATATCATGGATGGTCAGTCCTTGCATCCATAGCTCTGTCTATGAATTTGAGAGTGGTTACATTTCTCCAGCAACATCCCTCAGCTTTTTACCGAAACAGGGGCGGGGAAGAAGCTTTCACATTATTGTTTCAACTGCTGATTGCCGCTTTAAGATCACTTATGAGGTGCGCACACACACACACACACACACACACACACACACTATTGACGGACGTTTTGGCCTCTAGAATATGTTTATTATGATTAAGTTCGATCCCCACAGTTAATTATTTTGAAGTTCGCTACAAATTGAGATATTTAATTAAATAGTGATCCATTCTGATTACATTTGTTGTCACACAGGACCACGTGCCGAAACAGACCAATCACGGGCCGGCAGGCTACGAAGAAGCTTGCACCCTCATGCCATAGACATTAAGGTTAACTCTCTCAGGCAGGATGAAAACGACTACGTCGACCATGATCCTTTGCTAGTTACAGCCACTTTCACCATGATCTTAGCGATTATTTTGGTGCCATTTAGCCCTATTCAGTAATATGGCGTGCTTCAAATTTAAATAGTTTCGAGCTTCATGCGCCATCGGGAGTGTTCCATAGGAATACGTGGCTGAGGTCAAAGCTATCACCATCTACTGGTTTTAATGTCTATGGAATGGTGCATGAAGGCTGAATATGACAATGGGGACATTTCTGACAACACCATAACAGACAAATAAAGAAAACTTAACACTAAAATAGAAATGTTGTTTACCACCAAACATTTCATGAGTGGGTGTCCTAGAACTAACACCACTGGAAGACACAATAGGTAGATGAACAGCATCGACAACAGGATGTGTAAGGAAAGGGTTAAAGTTTGGAATGGAGTCGTCCACAGCTTCTGTAGAAGTGAAAGGATCTACACAGGCAAAGGTGACAGAAACAGAAAGAGAGAGAACAGGAAGATGTTAGAAGAGGACAGTGAGTCAAGTCAAACGAAGCATGCAGAAACACAACACAGGGTGCGGCTGAACATAAACCCCATGCCCCAGACAGAATTCTTCATGAACTATGATGGTGGTAGTGTTCGTATGACAAATACTCCAAGTATCATTTCAAGGAAACGAATATTGAAGCAGACTTGGAAACAAACAGCCTTATGTTGTCATCTAGAGTCACAATCATTTTTGCCAAGCTATAGCAAACAATACATTACGTAAAGCAGGTTATTTCATCACATGCATCTAGTGGTTATACCAAACGCCATACTACATGTGTACATTATAGTCATTTAGCAGATTATCTTATCCAGAGCCACTTACAGTTAGTGAATTCATCTTAAGATAGCTAGGTGGGACAACCACATATCTCAGTCATAGTAAGTACATTTTTCCTCAATAAAGTAGCTATCAACAAAGTCAATGCTAGTGGAAAAGAAAAATAAACATGTGCACCAGTCGATAATGTTAACTTCTAGACATGACACAAACCAAGACAGCCTTAATCCATGTAGCCTACACTTTACCGTCCTTATTGGAAATACTCAATTTGAACAAATGCAGCACATTTGCTTTGAAAACGTTTTTAAAAAGTATACTTGATAAAAGTATAAAGTCTAAAAAAAGTTACATTATAAACAACAAGAACACAAAAATAATTCCAGCTTCAAGTTGATTAACCTGATACGTTGCAGGACTGACAAAAAGTAACACTAGATTCATACTGTATAGTATGAGAGAACACGACTCCCTCAGTGACTACAATATTGGAATAAAACACAACAAAGAACAAGGTTTTAGTTTCCAGGGAAACCAAACACACAAACCTGAACAGTGTATTTGTAAGTGAAAAGGAAAACACAGTTAAGTAGGTTTGTATCTAATCATTTCAACCTTATCATTATTTACTTTCGATTGACACATGACCGTGAATTCAAAAGCACACACAACATTACAAGGCACTCAAGATAAAAGGTGCCTTTTAATTTGGCACCTCCATCATGAGGTTTAAATAACAATTCCATGAATGATGGACAACAAGAGTCATAGCAAATCAGACAAGGTCAATTACTAACTGTAATAATAATATGAATAAATAAGGTTACTGTCATGATACAGACCATTATTTTAGAGTTGCTGATAGTTTGTCTGGCAAACTACTAAACTGATAATAAGACGTTTTGTTACGACTTCAGTGCAGCTTTTGACTTGCCTGGCTACCAAAACTCCTTGCTCCGGGCAAACACTACGCCACGCCCACGGACGTTAGTTTCTTCTCCGCAATGAGTCTGGATCTGAGTACCTCCCGTAGGATTTCTAGAATAGAAACACGTTCTAGACCATCTGATTGGTCCCAGAAACCGATCGGTTGGGCCAGAGCCAGCACACACGTGGGTATTGCGACAATTTGAAAATGTGTCATTGGCATTGATACTATGATTGGTTAGAGATGATCCAATCGCTGATTCCTTTGTTTTGTACAACATCCCTCATTTTGACGTCGCCACAAACAACTTCAAAGATGGAAGTCTCAGACTGAAGCATGTAGCGAATGATTCTGTGAAATAATTCTGTTTTGAGTCGTCAGGAAAGCTTTTTTCATTATCGAGCATAGTCTGCTGCTGAAAAAACTGTGTGTGTTATGGCTTTACCTCCTCTGATATATGATGGATCGAGCGTTACCTATCTAACAGAACACAGACGGTGTTCTCTAACATAAACCAGGTAGAGTTAGGCATACCTCAAGGTCGTGACCCCTTACTTTTTAAAATGTTTACTAATGACCTACCACTAGCCTTGAGTAAAGCCAGCGTATCTATGTACGCTGATGACTCAACATTACACACGTCAGGTCAGCTACCACAGCAAGTGAAATCACTGCAACACTTAAAGAACTGCAGTGAGTTTTAGAATGGGTGTCCTAAATATATCAAAAACTAAAAGCACTGTATTTGGGACAAATCATTCACTAAACCCTAAACCTAAACTAAATCTTACATTTTAGTCATTTAGCAGACGCTCTTATCCAGAGCGACTTACAGTTAGTGAGTGCATACATTTTTTCATACTGGCCCCCCGTGGGAATCGAACCCACAACCCTGGCGTTGCAAACGCCATGCTCTACCAACTGAGCTACACGGGGCTGGATCTTGTAATGAATAATGTAGAAATTGAGCAAGTTGGAGACTAAACTGCTTGGTGTTACCCAGGATTGTAAACTGTCATGGTCAAAACATATTGATGCAACGGTAGCTAAGATGGGGAGAGGTCTGTTTGTAATAAAGTGCTACTCTGCTCTGCTTACTTGACATGACAATGAACAAATCTAGTTTTATCACACCTGGACTACTGCCCAGTCATTATGGTCACGTGCCACAAAGAGGGACATAGGCAAATTACAGTTGGCCCAGAACAGAGCAGCACAGCTGGCCCTTAAATGTAAACAGAGGGCTAATATCAATAACATGCATGTCAATATCTCCTGGCTCAAAGTAGAGAGATTAATTGCGTCACTCCTCGTCTTTGTGAGAGGTATTGACGTGTTGAAAGCACCGAACTGTTTGTTCAAACAGCTAACACACCCATACATACCCCACAAGACATGCCACCAGGGGTCTCTTCACAGTCCCCAAGTCCAGAACAGACTCTGGGAAACGCACAATAATAATAATAATAATAATAATAATAATAATAATACAGGGCCATGACTACATGGAATTCTCTTCCACATCAAGTAACTCACGCAAGCAGTAAAATAATATTTAAAAAACAGATAAAACACCTGTGTGGACTGTGAAGAGACATTTTATTACTGTATTGTACATTTTATATTGTATTTTTTAAAATTATGTCTTGCATGATGTATTGTCTTATTTATGATGTTGTTTTGTTTTTATGTAATTGTTTTATTCCTGTTTGGACCCCAGGAAGAGGTAACGGGGATCCTAATAAATACATAACTGTGATTTGATTGTTGATCGACTTTACCTGATATTATTAGTGGTCTTACCACCCAATTTCAAATTCAAGTTCACCAATAGCTTTCAGGAGTTAGGTCAAATACACCAGGTACTGTATATCCACCACCAGCAAGCTTATCGAGTTAATAAGCTGTTTGAGAATGCAAAGGGTCTATTCCACTATGACCTGTAGAGAGGCCTATCACAGAGGAATCTGAATGAAAGAGGGTGTGTGTGTGTGTGTGAGAATCAGGGGTGTAAAACAGGTATCCGCGGTGTGACGGGAGCTCTCACCTCCCCATGTGTTGGCTGTTGGTAGGCCAGTGGAGAGGGGCAGTGCCTGCTGCTGAAATGCAGGCTGCAAGTCTAGAAGGTCACTCGCCGCCTTGGAAGTGCTTGAGGGGGGAGGAAGAAGGGAAGTTAAAGACAAAAACGCATCAGTCTCCCAAAAGCAAAACCCTAACTCTCCCGTAGCCGTCTCAAAAGGTTTTCATAACGCTCCAGGTAGAAGTTGCACCTAGCAAAGGGTAGGGGGGAACATTCTACCTACTCCTTACTCCCACGGTTCCCACCCTTCACCTACAATGTTTTGTTTTTTTAAACAGTCCCAAACATTTCACGCACACACACTGAAGACAAACTTGGCAGGCTTGCTTAAACAGCCAAGTGGGAGAAACAGTGGAATCTCTGAAAGTCACACGCAATCAATACCCTCTGTACAGCCATGGAGGCTCCTTAAACAGCTACCCTGATCTGCATGCTTTCCAACGGGGGAATGCAATACGTTCTAGCCGGGCAGTTATGCAACACGCACCCTTGCCATCCACCTTTAAAAACTGGAGCAACGATTCATTCATTGTTCTTCTTTTGTAATGCTCACGTTTATGTACGAGATGATTTGTAGAAGTACATTGTAGAGCTGGGCGATATGGAAAAGAAATCCATATCACGATAAATTGCCTGAATTTATGCGATAATGAAAATAGAGTGATAAGTTTATAACATGAATGTACACCACAGATTTTTTTAAAATGATTATCCTGTAAACTACTACTATGGTTGTAGCCATCAATTGTCCCATTAACAATCACCCATATCAGCAAACGTATTTAATTTCTAACTTCACATTACTCTATTTTAGGCTACTTATCATAATGAACGATATCAGCAAAATACCTGTGATAAGTGATCGGCGTCGATACAGTTCTAGTGATCATCCCAGCTCTAGTACACTGACATGTGTGCAGCTGTGGCACTACAGAATACATTCCACTGGCATCGATTTCATTAGGTGGGCAAAGGCACAGGAAAGAGTGGGTAAGAAAACATTCGGAGAGTACGACCCTGCCTTACACAGGAAGCGGCACAGGTCCTAATCCAGGCACTTGTCATCTCCCGTCTGGATTACTGCAACTCGCTGTTGGCCGGGCTCCCTGCCTGTGCCATTAAACCCCTACAACTCATCCAGAATGCCGCAGCCCGTCTGGTGTTCAACCTTCCCAAGTTCTCTCACGTCACCCCGCTCCTCCGCACACTCCACTGGCTTCCAGTTGAAGCTCGCATCTGTTACAAGACCATGGTGCTTGCCTATGGAGCTGTGAGGGGAATGGCACCTCTGTACCTTCAGGCTCTGATCAGTCCCTACACCCAAACAAGGGCATTGCGTTCATCCACCTCTGGCCTGCTGGCTCCCCTTCCTCTGCGGAAGCATAGTTCCCGCTCAGCCCAGTCAAAACTGTTCGCTGCTCTGGCACCCCAATGGTGGAACAAGCTCCCTCACGACGCCAGGACAGCGGAGTCACTCACCACCTTCCGGAGACATTTGAAACCCCACCTCTTTAAGGAATACCTGGGATAGGATAAAGTAATCCTTCTACCCCCCCCCCTTAATAAAAAAAAAAAAAAAAATTGTAAAGTGGCTAACCCACTGGCTATAGGGTGAATGCACCAATTTGTAAGTCGCTCTGGATAAGAGCGTCTGCTAAATGACGTAAATGTAAAAAATGTAAATGTAATAGATGAGCAGGCCTATTAATAGCAATGGAGTCTTTGGCTCTATGGTTACATGGCATCGACTGTCTAGTCTGGCTTCAACAACCCCAAACACTACGTCATTATTAATGCCCCCTCAAAAGATCTGAAACAACTGGCACCCTATTCCATATGTACTGCACTACTTCTCACCAAGGCTCATAGGGCTCTGGTCAAAGGTAGTGTACTATATAGGGCACAACCATAAACACCACAAAGAGTTATGATCAGTGCCTGGGCACTATACATGTAACCTAGCTTTTTGGCAAACTCAGTGGGGGAGTGATATGGGTAAGGCCTAGGTGAGAAAGGGTGTGCTCACCTGTTTGTGGAGCTGGGTGTGGAGAAAAGGTCAATGGCCGGTGCTGTGTTGATGGTCCCTCCGTCAGTGGACACAGGGGAGGCAGCCGTGGTGGCATAGGAAGAATTACCGTTCTGGAGTTCCTTCAGACGCTGCTCCTAGGTGGAACAGGCCAAATTCAACAATACCAAACACCCGGGCCTACCTACAGTACACTGGCCAGCTAACATTTTCTGAGAGCATGTATTTTTACTGAACTTTTTACTCAATTTAACAGAGGTGGTGGGGAGTCTGTGACTTGTTAGCTAAAAAAAGATCCCTTCTTTGGATGACCTCTGGCTCGATGCTTGGTTGCTTACCACAGCATTAATTTAGATTAAAATGAGACCAAAAATATCATTGAAGATTTAATCGCTGTAGTGTGAATACTGCTCAAGAACATGTTAGACTGCAACTCCCTCGACATTGACATTTTCCCCCCAAAGGCAGAAAATCGTTTAATTTTTGTTCATTATCACTGAATGTTCTACACATGCTGCTGACCAGTCAGCACAGATTAAACCCAGTAGGGCAATAAGCCAAGAGGATAGTTGGAGGGGGAGAGCAAGAGTGTGAGAGAGAGCGAGAGAGCGAGAGAGCGAGAGAGCGAGAGAGCGAGAGCAGAGCGAGAGAGAGAGAGAGAGAGAGAGAGAGAGAGAGAGAGAGAGAGAGAGAGAGAGAGAGACAGAGAGACAGAGAGACAGAGAGACAGAGAGACACAGAGAGAGACAGAGACACACAGAGAGACAGAGAGCGAGAGGAGCACACTGGAAGGAAAATGTACCTTCAGCGCTTTTAGGCGAGCCTGCTCTTCCTCCAGAGCTGCCTGCTTTTCCCTCTCGTCCACTTTGGTGAAAGATATGCCCGTGTTGGCCAGAGAGGAGACAGCGTTGGAGAGAGTGCTAGCCCTGGATAGACAGAAACATAGGAAGAGAGAGAGAGAGAGGTCAGTTAGTGGGGGCTATGGGAAAACTGTTTACTGGCCATTGTCAAAAGTGCTGTGCTGTTCTGCAAGCTCAGTGAAAGAAATTGGCACATATTTTTACAACTGCACTTTGATAGATACGGGCTACAAGAGTAACAGGAGGTTGGTATAAAATAGAAAGGATTTCTGCTCGACAGGGATCATTTATAACACACCTTTCCCACTCTAAACAGAAAACCTGAATGAGCACTGATGGTCAGTGCACATAATTATAGTACATTCAAAAGACACAAAAAGGAAACAAAATCAAATGCACCTGGCATTAGCCACAGACAAGTAGGTCTTTATTAACTATATAGGACTTGCATAAATTGAGGGTAAAAACACTGCAACTGTAGCTCCCGGAGCATTCGTCAATATTTTCTCTGAAACAACTGGAAGAACACACAGAAAGGAAAAGGCATACTTTGGACCGCAGTACAAAAATATATTGTTGAGATTGCTGCCCAACGACAAACACTTCACATCCAACTCACACCCACTTGCTAAATCTGGTACCTGAGCAAAGAGGCTTTGTCTGACTGGACTACATTGGATAGGCAGTGAGTAAATGGAAGGGGAAATGACAGTACCTGCTGGCTGCTGTGGAAGCTTTCACCTTCTTCCCTTCTAAAGAAGCCAAATGCTGCTCCAAGGCATCTAAGAGGCTACTGGGGGCCTATTACAATGGAAACAAATAGTGAGTTCAAATGTTGGGGGGGGAAATGTCATCACAAAGGGGTAATAGCAGATGGAAACACAAACAGTAAGCATGCCTAGGTATTTTACAATGCACACAAAGAGAAAACGTACTACCCTTACAAACACTTAAAAAGAGTGGGATACACATACTTACAAAACCTGGAATCTAAAGATGGAAAGTTAAGGAAAAATACAGAATATAAAGGTGGTAATTGTCAGAGATGATAAAAAGAGAGGTTTTGGGAGAAAGGTACTAGCTAAAGGCATCTATTTAAATCCAAAACAGTCCTAATAAAAAACAAATCACAAATTGATTGACCTTGTAAAATACTGTTTGTCTTGCTAAAGCACCATCTGAACATGGTCATAACAAAAGTAAAAACCCTTTTATTCTAAGACTGGATATGTAAGCGAGAGATGTAGCTAACCCCACACAACATGTGGCCCTTCTTGAAAGGTGACATGGAACAGTATAATAGCATACAGGGTACTCCTTCCATCTCGGCTCTAGCCTACTCGGTGAACGCCTTGACAAAGGTCGATGTCAACACCTTTATGTGCTGTATGCCATGCAAGGTCAGGTGAGTCCTTGTTCGAATGCAAATAAAGTGCACCCTTCCTTCCTTGATCACAGATCTAGAAGTGATTGCAAAGATGAGAGGTTTTCAACCTATTGCTCTCACCAATCCAACCAAATCAGATCTGTGATTTGATTACTTGAAGGAAGGAAATAAGCATTTTGAAAGTATTTGGACTGGGCCCAAGTCTGGCGTTTCCTCTAGGAGGGGGCCACATGCAGTGTGGGATAGCTAGAGCTGTACAGAAGTAACCATTTGGGAGGTCTGAAACTGCAGGAGGTGGCAGGGTGGTGAGAGAGGCCGGAAGCCAGCACAGAGGGGTGTTGAAATAAAGTCAAGCTGAGGGGTTCAGCAGGGCTCCATCTCAGACCCGCTGCACTGTCGGGCCATGGAGATATGAAAGCGATAGATAGCACGAGGTCTTACCTGGGAGAGGTCTGGGATGTCCCCTCGATCAATCCCTACTTGCTGCAAGGAAGGAGAGAGGAGGGTCAAGATAACATGGAGGTGAATGTAGGAGTAAAAAATTAAATAAAATCTGATCACACAGAAGTTTGCAAGGTGGGATCTTACCGCCGCTACTTTTAGAAATTCAGAGATTCTTGTCATTCTAGTGAGGAATTTCTTGTAGATGTCAAGGCCCTCTTTGCATTGACTTTTCTTCATGTCAAAGTACTTCTCTGTGAAGTGAAAAGAGGAAAATGATAATGAAGCACTGGAACTTCAGCAAAATAGAAGTGATAAAACTTAGGTATAACTTACATTTTATCAAATCAGGATAAACTATCAAACTGCCTTTACAAATCAATGGGGGAGGTGTTGAATTTTCCATAGTATAATTCTATAAGTAAAAGCTTTCTCCAATCAGAAAATCGGCCCTTAAATATGGATGTCTGCAGGAAGTATACAAACTCTCCAGAGGGGTGCATGAATCCTAAACATGTCTCACTAGCTTGTAAAACTCCCACTGATGTTTGCTCATATCCAATTTGCTCCTCCACCCCCCACAGGCCTGCTCAGTCCACCAAAAGGAACAAGGCTCTCACCTGAGTGAGAGGGATCCATCCTCATAGCAGAGAATACAGCCTTGACATGTACAGTGGGGAAAAAAAGTATTTAGTCAGCCACCAATTGTGCAAGTTCTCCCACTTAAAAAGATGAGAGAGGCCTGTAATTTTCATCATAGGTACACGTCAACTATGACAGACAAATTGAGGAAAAAAAATCCAGAAAATCCCATTGTAGGATTTTTAATGAATTTATTTGCAAATTATGGTGGAAAATAAGTATTTGGTCACCTACAAACAAGCAAGATTTCTGGCTCTCACAGACCTGTAACTTCTTCTTTAAGACGCTCCTCTGTCCTCCACTCGTTACCTGTATTAATGGCACCTGTTTGAACTTGTTATCAGTATAAAAGACACCTGTCCACAACCTCAAACAGTCACACTCCAAACTCCACTATGGCCAAGACCAAAGAGCTGTCAAAGGACACCAGAAACAAAATTGTAGACCTGCACCAGGCTGGGAAGACTGAATCTGCAATAGGTAAGCAGCTTGGTTTGAATAAATCAACTGTGGGAGCAATTATTAGGAAATGGAAGACCACTGATAATCTCCCTCGATCTGGGGCTCCACGCAAGATCTCACCCCGTGGGGTCAAAATGATCACAAGAACGGTGAGCAAAAATCCCAGAACCACACGGGGGGACCTAGTGAATGACCTGCAGAGAGCTGGGACCAAAGTAACAAAGCCTACCATCAGTAACACACTACGCCGCCAGGGACTCAAATCCTGCAGTGCCAGACGTGTCCCCCTGCTTAAGCCAGTACATGTCCAGGCCCGTCTGAAGTTTGCTAGAGTGCATTTGGATGATCCAGAAGAGGATTGGGAGAATGTCATATGGTCAGATGAAACCAAAATAGAACTTTTTGGTAAAAACTCAACTCGTCGTGTTTGGAGGACAAAGAATGCTGAGTTGCATCCAAAGAACACCATACCTACTGTGAAGCATGGGGGTGGAAACATCATGCTTTGGGGCTGTTTTTCTGCAAAGGGACCAGGACGACTGATCCGTGTAAAGGAAAGAATGAATGGGGCCATGTATCGTGAGATTTTGAGTGAAAACCTCCTTCCATCAGCAAGGGCATTGAAGATGAAACGTGGCTGGGTCTTTCAGCATGACAATGATCCCAAACACACCGCCCGGGCAACGAAGGAGTGGCTTCGTAAGAAGCATTTCAAGGTCCTGGAGTGGCCTAGCCAGTCTCCAGATCTCAACCCCATAGAAAATCTTTGGAGGGAGTTGAAAGTCTGTGTTGCCCAGCGACAGCCCCAAAACATCGATGCTCTAGAGGAGATCTGCATGGAGGAATGGGCCAAAATACCAGCAACAGTGTGTGAAAACCTTGTGAAGACTTACAGAAAACGTTTGACCTGTGTCATTGCCAACAAAGGGTATATAACAAAGTATTGAGAAACTTTTGTTATTGACCAAATACTTATTTTCCACCATAATTTGCAAATAAATTCATTAAAAATCCTACAATGTGATTTTCTGGATTTTCTTTTCTCATTTTGTCTGTCATAGTTGATGTGTACCTATGATGAAAATTACAGGCCTCTCTCATCTTTTTATGTGGGAGAACTTGCACAATTGGTGGCTGACTAAATACTTTTTTTCCCCACTGTATGTAATGACCAGAGATATATCAAATAGCTGCATAAGGTTTCTAGCCAAGTCTAGGAGCCAAGTGCAACTCTCTAACTCCATTCTAATATCCAAATATATTGTGGAGACATACAAGAATGTTAGTATACTGGAATATTTATTTCCAACCTTATACATTTTAATTTCCAACTCGTGCACTGAACTACATGTGCAAACAGATATGCAGTGTAGTTGAATACAGGCTGTGTACAAGACCAGTCTCTCCACCAGCATCGGGCTCAATTTCAGGACACTCATTTATTTAGAATTCGAAGAATTGGAAACTAGATTTCTTCCCCAATGTGTTTCAGACATTAAATAGAATGGCCGAGTTAAAAAGGCAATTCAACCATCCTACTGTATGTCACCTAGCAAACCTAGATCACTAAAACAAAGCAGAGTAGTAGCAGAACACGGTCCTTTAACGGCCCTCGTTAAGTCAACCTGATAGCGAGGAGCAGGCTGATAGTGAGTGGTAGCAAACATTTGAGGCCAGTGATACAGTATTAACCCAGAACGACAGGGTGCAAAGATGTCTCTGCATCAGTGCCGCTCCATGGTAACAATGATACGGAAATAATGACTTGGTTTTGGCATGCCAGAGGCTCTTGAGAGCCGGAAGGCGGAAGTACTTACCCAACAGGTTAATAATGCCTTCGTTGTAGGCCGCAAACAGTCGAATGGCATCTTTGAACAGAAGCATGAAGGCTGCGTTGATCACTCCGTTGGTGAGCTCATTGGCGTTGACCTGGAGATGGAGGGGGGATCCAAAGCAGACCAATTGAATTGACAGTCAACCCATCAAGCATTCTCATTGGTCTGACTCACAGAGCTAACTCCCAATCCACACGACAGAGCTACTCATTCGCCAACTGTTTTTTTGCAATACTGTTACATTCGAGACCTGGAGCGTTTTGTTCAGGCCATAGCAGTACAACAAGTTACAACGTGCAAAATGTCAAGCATTGAAACTCACATTGAAATCAAGTAGCGCATCCATTTGGTTTTGGATAATGGGTAGGGTCTTCAGTAACTTCTCGGTGTTCATGGTTCTCATAACGCCATCCGCCCTTGGGGAATGATAATATTCCAATTATTAAGGGCCCAATACTAATGGCTTTGGACTGTCATGAATGTCATAAAGCATGCAATTTAAAATAATGCATTTGGATTAGGTTTGGTGAACTACACTACACTTACTCAGATGCCCAATCCCAAATCAACACCTACACCATATACACTTCATGCAGGAATAAGCAATATGCCAAAAAATATATCCAAAATGCACTTCTCAGGAGTCGACTGTACAGTGTGTATACAATATAGAAGAGGCTAGGTAGACCTGAGCCGGATGCTATAAGAAAACGTGTGAACAGAGAATTAAAGTCCTTACCCTCGTTTAACTTTGGTGAAGTCAAAAGCGACTTGTCGATACGACACAGCCTTCTCGTTCAGGTAGCGACTATACCTCCTTATGAACGTTGACATGTCATAGCCTGAAAAAGACAATAGGGGAATAAATGTTTTAGCATCAGGTGCATCTTGATCGTGACACACATCTCACTATAGAACTGCCACGTAATCACCTTTTCAAACAACTAGCCTATACTCTTAGCTGTTTATTTGGGGAACTAAGAGATACAATAAGCGGAGGCACATTCTTTCCATTCATTTTGGAAATGAAGACTACTTCAGAGTTTTTTGGTGGATATACAGGTAACTGCCAAAATAAAAGAAACACCAACATAAAGTGTCTTAATAGGACGTTGGGCCACCACGAGCCAGAACAGCTCCAATGTGCCTTACCATACTTTCTACAAGTGTCGAACTCTACTGGAGGGATGCAACATCATTCTTCCACGACAAATTCCATAATTTGCTGTTTTGTTGATGGTGGTGGAAAACGCTGTCTCAGGCGCCACTCCAGAACCTCCCATCAGTGTTCAATTGGGTTGAGATCTGGTGACTGAGACGGCCATGGCATATGGTTTACATCGTTTTCATGCTCATCAAACCATTCAGTGACAACTCGTTCCCTGTTGATGGGGCATTGTCATCCCATGGGGGGATAGCCATTGTAGCAAAAAATAATGGGTAACTGCATTTTTATGTATGACCCTAAGCATGATGGGATGTTAATTGCTTAGGAATTGCTCAGGAACCACACCTATGTGGAAGCACCTGCTTTCAATATACTTTGTGTCCCTCATTTACTCAAGTGTTTCCTTTATTTTGGCAGTTACTGGTATGTGCCACATGCCGTGAGACAAAAGACACAGGCAGACTTTAGGACACTTCAAGTGTGTGTTCCAGTGTTGCCGTGATACCAATGTCATACTATCATGATACTCGTGAAAGCCTACCATGGAAACAAATAAAACTAACTGAATTGTCTGGTCCTTTAACTATTGTGCGCAATAGCTTGAAAAAAACCCGGATGGGACTCAAGGCTGTCACGTTTATTTTCCAAGCGATTGTACTTAGTTTACTGATTTCTTCAATACTGAGTATTGTGACAACCTTACTTCCAACATCTGCATTGCTTGCGGTTTGGGGTTTTAGGCTGGGTTTCTGTATAGCACTTTGTGACATCTGCTGTTGTAAAAAGGGCTTTATAAATACATTTGATTGATTGATGACAATGATCATGAACTATCATAAATACTGTCTGTATCATGAATATGGTCCGCCCCGTATTTTCTTCTAAAGTAAATGCTCAACAGGCCGTCTTCGACAGCTCACCATCGTGGATTTCTGTCATGAGTGCTATACTCCCCAACCTCAATCAAGTCACCATCCTTAAACAAACTGACAGCTCCCTATTACCCTCATTTATAAGTAACACAACATGACTAAAGGAATGTGGGTTATTATGATTAGGGATGTTTACTCTACCATTATACTCCCACTTGAAAGTCCCACTGGTCTGGGCTGCCAGGCATCTTGTTAACATGGGAAACAACCTTGAGTAAATAAATTCTGCTGCGCATGATATGAGTGGAGTGTCTGCCATTATGCCTTAACCATTCCATTGGGAATAGAGCGGAGGGGAAAAGGGCAGGACCGTTTAAAAGAACAGTTCTCCACTCTCAGTCTTGCCTGTTGTCGCACACACACACACACACAAACACGTTTAGTAGGCAAAAGTTATGGAACGTTGCAGTTCTTGAATAGAGCTGACGTGATTCCTTATTCTACATGTCAGATATAAATATTTTTTCTAGAACAAGCATGCCTATCTGAACGTTCAACGACATTGTGCCCTGCTGAACACGGCCCTGTTGAGTGCCCTGAGAGAATAGGCCTTAAGATACTGGAGCATTTCAGCTCATACAGTGTAGACCATACTGAACCTGTGATAAAATACAGAGAGTGCTTCAGAGCTGACTTCACTCACCTTGTAGGCCACTTTTGTCCAAAAAGTTACTGAGGTTAAAAAGCGTATTCCTTGAAGCCAGGTACTGTATAAATCTCTGCAACACAGAAACAGTTGTGAAAACTTTCTGTAATACGAAAGGAACTCATAGTCAATAATTGCATTCACCAACAGCAATTGAAAATGCATAGCAATGTTACATAAGAGCACCTTCTCAAAATAATAAGTATTATTATTTGTTTTATGATATCCAAATTGGTAGTTACAGTCTTGTCCCATCGCTATAACTCCCGTACGGACTTGGGAGAGGCGAAGGTCGAGAGCCATGCGTCCTCCGAAACACGACCCTGCCAAGCCACACTGCTTCTTGACACACTGCTCACTTAACCCGGAAGCCAGCGGCACCAATGTGTCAGAGGAAACACCGTACAACTGGCGACCGTGTCAGCGTGCATGCGCCCGGCCCTCCACAGGAGTCGCTAGACCGCGATGGGACAAGGACATCCCGGCCGGCCAAACCCTCCCCTAACCCGGACGATGCTGGGCCAATTGTGCGTCACCTCATGGGTCTCCCAGTCGAGGCCGGCTGCGACACAGCCTGGGATCGACCCAGATCTGTAATGACGCCGCAAGCACTGCAGTGCCTTAGACCGCTCGGGAGTCCCCCAAAAGAAGTATGTTAAATTACACAACTCTGTCACTAGATACGGCTTCACTTCAAAACAACCAGTGTTAAAATGGATTTCAAAATACCTTAACTCAACACCACTATTAGGCTGTTGTCATGACTTGCCCTCATGGGCTGAGGATCAAAGATGCCGGCTAGGCAAAGGTTTGAACACCCCCTTTCCTGGGGGCCAGTTTTATGTAAATACCGCGCTCTCTCTTCCTTGCCATGAAGTATTGGGAAAAAGGACAACTTTGTTAACACAGACATTCTTCCCGCCAAAACTCCAACATCCAAAAGTGGAAAATGAAACAATTCATTCTTCAAAGAATGTGGGAAATGGTTGGCGACTAAAAGAACAATCATGTCAAATTTGTTACCATGTTGTGATGTCATTAAAGATGGTGGAACAACATAACTGTATCTCTGGGGGTGTACACTTCCCAGTTATAAGGTTTGCATCTAATTGTGGTATAAAATGAATGATTAAGTATAATAATACTTTTGTGAAGATAACAATGTGATTTTAGCATTCTAGATGAGATGATTGTTTTCCATATTGATTTGTTCTCAGTCAGTGGCCACACCCAGATGAGCACAAACATGATGGAATGCCCCTTTTACCTAGAGTGCATAAAAAGCCTTGAAAAACAAATTAACATTAGACCAGCAGACGTGAAGCGTGAGCTAAACGTTACAAAATGGTTTAAAACTACAACTCCATTACCAAAGGAAGACCAAGCAGATTACAGTATAAGCTGGATGTTGCAAATGGTTGAATTTCTACCAGACCAGGAAGCATGAAGCTGAAGTTACACGTTACAAAATGGTTAGACCAGAAAACGTGAGTCCACACGTTTGAAATGGAGAAACTCTGAAACTCTCAACGAGGTGAAGAAGAAGACTCCAATTTGCATACCGCCCCAACAGATCCACAGATGATGCAATCTCTATTGCACTCCACACTGCCCTTTCCCACCTGGACAAGAGGAACACCTACGTGAGAATGCTATTCATTGACTACAGCTCAGCATTCAACACCATAGTGCCCTCTAAGCTCATCACTAAGCTAAGGATCCTGGGACTAAACACCTCCCTCTGCAACTGGATCCTGGACTTCCTGACGGGCCGCCCCCAGGTGGTAAGGGTAGGTAACAACACATCTGCCACACTGATCCTCAACACGGGGGCCCCTCAGGGGTGCGTGCTCAGTCCCCTCCTGTACTCTCTGTTCACCCATGACTGCATGGCCAGGCACGACTCCAACACCATCATTAAGTTTGCCGACGACACAACAGTGGTAGGCCTGATCACCGACAACGATGAGACAGCCTATAGGGAGGAGGTCAGAGACCTGGCCGTGTGGTGCCAGGACAACAACCTCTCCCTCAACGTGACCAAGACAAAGGAGATGATTGTGGACTACAGGGAAAAAAAAGAGGACTGAGCACGCCCCCATTCTCATCGACGGGGCTGTAGTGGAACAGGTTGAGAGCTTCAAGTTCCTTGGTGTCCACATCACCAACAAACTATCATGGTCCAAACACACCAAGACAGTTGTGAAGAGGGCACGACAAAGCCTATTCCCCCTCAGGAGACTGAAAAGATTTGGCATGGGTCCTCAGATCCTCAAAAAATTCTACAACTGCACCATCGAGAGCATCCTGACTGGTTGCATCACCGCCTGGTATGGCAACTGCTTGGCCTCCGACCGCAAGGCACTACAGAGGGTAGTGCGTACGGCCCAGTACATCACTGGGGCCAAGCTTCCTGCCATCCAGGACCTCTATACCAGGCGGTGTTAGAGGAAGGCCCTCAAAATTGTCAAAGACTCCAGCCACCCTAGTCATAGACTGTTCTCCCTGCTACCGCACGGCAAGCGGTACCGGAGTGCCAAGTCTAGGTCCCAGCTTCTACCCCCAAGCCATAAGACTCCTGAACAGCTAATCATGGCTACCCGGACTATTTGCACTGCCCCCCCACCCCATCCTTTTTACGCTGCTGCTACTCTGTTAATTATTTATGCATAGTCACTTTAACTCTACCCACATGTACCTCAACTAGCCGGTGCCCCCGCAAATTGACTCTGCAACGGTACCCCCCTGTATATATAGCCTCCCTACTGTTATTTTATTTTACTTCTGCTCTTTTTTTTCTCAACACTTTTTTTGTTGTTGTTTTATTTTTACTTTTTTTGTTAAAAATAAATGCACTGTTGGTTAAGGGCTGTAAGTAAGCATTTCACTGTAATGTCTGCACCTGTTGTATTCGGCGCATGTGACCAATAAAATTTGATTTGACATTGAACTAGACCTTATAATCTGTCTGCAGCTGGCATGAATAGTCGTTTAGAGAACTTTCACTAAAGACACGAGTTGGGAAGGACAATCCCTCTCCGACAACCGCTGGTACATCTGAAAGTATCCATTCTAACCACCACTACGACCAGAACCTCTACTAAGGACACTGGGATCTCTGGTGGACAAACCAGAGTCCTACATCATCAACTCAACTATCGAGGACAGCTACACGTAAATACAGGTTGCATTTCTAATCCAAATGAGCGTTTAGTGGAGTTTTAAGCATTTATATTTACGTGAGCGTAGTTTCCAAAGTAACCACGATAGTTTGAATCTCTGTCTCTCCCTTCCACTCTGACCCTCCTTCTACCCAAGCATTCATGCGATTGTTAGTCCAGTCCACTAGGGACCTGTCTTCATTGTATTATGTTAGTCATCAATAACCTGTGTGTGTGTGTGTGTGTGTGTGTGTGTGTGTGTGTGTGTGTGTGTGTGTATATTGTGTTATTATTTAGTTGTTTTTTTTTAGTTTTTTTAGGGGGTAGATCAGATTGTAACTTCCATCAATGGAATTGTCTGCATCACTTCCAATCCTACGTTTTTTTCCCCCCCTTGCATGCACACATAAATATACACACGTATCCTTAAAAAAAATAATAATATATATATATATATATTTTATTACCCTTTATTACTTTCTAACCCACACCACCCCTTCCCTAATTGGAGTAAACAACAATGGTTAGGCCTCTACTTCCAGCTTATACATACTATATACACATTTTATGGACACAGTCAATTTTACAATCATTCTATTATTTGTTTTTACTCCTGAACTTTCTCTACTCTCAACCCCTCCGATCATTTTCATGATGTCCATCCGGTTTGCTTCTATATGCCATATCTTTCTAACTGTGTTCTTTCACAAAAGCTCTCAACGTATAACCTATATACTTATTATGGACACAGCATGCTTTACATTAGTGATCTTGTTGTTATTAGCTGTTGATAGTTATTAGTCCCATCCTTCAACTCCATTTAACACCACCCATCTATCGCTTAACACCATCCATATTGGATTTGTATTTGCCATATATTTTTCAACTGTACTGTGATGTTTAAAAAAAGTTCTGAACCCTTCTATTATCATTGTTTCTACAGATTGTAAATTGAAAATAAACATTTTTGCTAAAAACATTATTATATTATTGATCGATTGACTATGACTTTTCAGATCACCCAGTAGTGCTATCTGCAGGGTTAGCTCCAGGTAAATATTGCAATCCTTTAGCCATTCCTGGATATTTTACATTTTAGTCATTTTAGCAGACGCTCTTATCCAGAGCGACTTACAGTTAGTGAATGCATACATTATTTATTTTTTCCAACCCCCTGTGGGAATCGAACCCACAACCCTGTCGTTGCAAACGCCATGCTCTACCAACTGAGCTACATCCCTGCCGACCATTCCCTCCCCTACCCTGGACGACGCTGGGCCAATTGTGCGCCGCCCCATGGGTCTCCCGGTCGCGGCAAGCTACGACAGAGCCTGGATTCGAACCAGGATCTCTAGTGGCACAGCTAGCACTGCGATGCAGTGCCTTAGACCACTGCGCCACTCGGGAGACAAAGACCTGTGTCCAAAAACAAGCTACAAATGGACAGTACCAAAACAAATGATCTAATGATTGTATTTTTGCAGCAAAATCTGCAGAGCTGGGAAGATTGTATCCCCCATATAAATAACATTCTATTGGTAGCAAGAATTTTGTATAATAAGTTTTTAATCCGGCGTCGTTTTGCGTAAATTCATCAACACTATGCCATGGAATCGGTACATCAAAAATCTCTTCCCATCTATTTTGCAATCTACAGTGAAGTCAGAAGTTTATATTATATACACCTTAGGAATTGTGAAAAACTGAGTTTTTAAATGTATTTGGCTAACATTTAATCCTAGTAAAAATCCCCTGTCTTAGGTCTGTTAGGATCACCACTTTATTTTAAGAATGTGAAATGTCAGAATAATAGTAGAGAGAATTTTTTATTTCAGCTTTTATTTCTTTCATCACATTCACAGTGGGTCAGAAGTTTACATACACTCAATTAGCATTTGGTAGCATTGCCTTTAAATTGTTTAACTTGGGTCAAACGTTTCGGGTAGCCTTCCACAAGCTTCCCACAATAAGTTGGGTAAATTTTGGCCCATTCCTCCTGACAGAGCTGGTGTAACTGAGTCAGGTTTTTAGACCTCCTTGCTCGCACATGCATTTTCAGTTCTGCCCACACATTTTCTATAGGAATGAGGTCAGGACTTTGTGATGGCCACTCCAATACCTTGACTTTGTTGTCCTTAAGCCATTTTGCCACAACTTTGGAAGTATGCTTGGGGTCATTGTCCATTTGGAAGACCCATTTGCGACCAAGCTTTAACTTCCTGACTGATGTCTTGAGATGTTGCTTCAATATATCCACATAATTTTCCTTCCTCATGATGCCACCTATTTTGTGAAGTGCACCAATCCCTCCAGCAGCAAAGCACCCCCACAGCATCACAGTTGGGATGGTGTTCTTTGGCTTGCAACCCACCCCCCTTTTCCTCCAAACATAACGATGGCCATTATGGCCAAACAGTTCTATTTTTGTTTCATCAGACCAGAGGACATTTGTCAAAAAAGTTGGATCTTTGTCCCCATGTGCAGTGGCAAACCATAGTCTGGCTTTTTTATGGCGGTTTTGCAGCAGTGGCTTCTTCCTTGCTGAGCGGCCTTTCGGGTTATGTCGACATAGGACAGGATCTGTTTGTACAGATGAACCTGGTACCTTCAGGCATTTGGAAATTGCTCCAAATGATGAACCAGACTTGTGGAGGTCTACAATTCTTTTTCTGAGGTCTTGACTGATTTATTTTGATTTTCCCATGATGTCAAGCAAAGAGGCACTGAGTTTGAAGGTAGGCCTTGAAATACATCCACAGGTATACCTCCAATTGACCCAAATTATGTCAATTAGCCTATCAGAAGCTTCTAAAGCCATGACATAATTTTCTGGAATTTTCCAAGCTGTTTAAATGCACAGTCAACTTCTGACCCACTGATATTGTGATACAGTGAATGATAAGTGAAATAATCTGTCTGTTAACAATTGTTGGAAAAATTACTTGTGTCACGCACAAAGTAGATGTCCTAACCGACTTGCCAAAACTATAGTTTTGTGGTTGAAAAACGAGTTTTAAATGACTCCAACCTAAGTGTATGTAAACTTCCGACATCAACTGTATATGGGACGGCTGTCAATCCTTTGGTCCTGAAATGAAACTGGTATACTTTCTTATTCATCACAATTTTCTTTAATGCAGACAAGTTCCTTACTTTTTCCCCCTTCCACTTTCCTCTTCCATTTTTGCGATAATGCTGCAATTATTTGTTTGTAATTTTGGGTAGAGCAGACATTTCCATAAGTTTTTGTTAGCTGCATGTGCGACATAACTCCACCAGTCCTACCTATGATATAATTTACGAAGATCATACATTTTTTGAAAATGTTTTTTAAAAATAATGGTATTTTTATCAATTAGTATATTTGAGTTTTACCACAATATTTGTTGCATTATTTGTTCTGTCATTTCTGGAGTATTACATTGAAATTGCAACCAACTTTCTATGGCTTGTTTTAGAAATAGTGATATTTGGGAGATTACTTTTCAAATAACTGAAAGTGAGAGGTTGTAATCTGAATAAAGGGAAAAAGGCCATTCTTGAACATTGGGTGAGAATCTTACTAATTTGCTAGAGAACCAGTTCGGATTTAAGTATAACTTTTGTATGACTGAAGCTTTTAGTGATAGGTCTAATGCTTTAATATTTAATCATTTCTGTCCTCCATATTCATTAAATAAATAGCCCCATTCAATTTTGTCTGGCTTGCCGTTCCAAATAAAATTGAATATCAAAACTGTTCGCTAGGCATGGCAAGACCATAAGCAAATAGGTAAACTGGGATAATACTAAAGAGTTAATCAGGGTGATTTTTCCACAAATTGACAGGTATTTACCTTTCCATGGTAGCAAGATCTTTGCTAACGTTCTATTAAAATTTATTGGAGTGAGATTATTTATTTCATTTGGGATATGTATTCCGAGTATATCCACATCACCATCAGACCATTTAATTGGTAAACTACATGGTACTGTACATTTTTTATTTTATAGTGATCCATTACGTAATATAGTACATTTAATCATAATTTGGTTGTAATCCAGAGGGGTTAGAAAATGTATCTAGATCCTCTATGAGGCTGTGGAGGGATTCAAGTTGTGGATTTAAACACATTAATCATCAGCGTACAATGACACCTTTGTTTTTAAGCCCTGGATTTCTAATCCCTTGATATTATTGTTGGATCTGATTTTAATAGCTAACATCTCGATGGCCATAATACATAGATATGCTGATAGTGGACAACCTTGTTTCACTCCTCTTGACAGTTGAAAACATTTGGAGAAAGTGCCATTATTTACTATTTTACACCTAGGCTTACTATAAATGATTTTTCCCCATTTTATAAAGAGATTCTCCAAAATTGAAATGCTCCAGGCATTTATATATAAACCACAGTCGTACTTTATCAAATGCCTTTTCAAAGTCTGCTATGAATAGCAGGCCTGGTTTCCCATATTTTTCATAGTGTTCTATTGTTTCCAGTACTTGCCTTATATTATCTCCAATGTATCGTCCATGTAAAAAACCTGTCTGATTAGAATGAATAATGTCCGACAATACCTTTTTTAATTCTATGCGCTATACATTTTGCTAGAATTTTTGCATCACAACACTGAAGTGTAAGGGGCCTCCAATTATATTATCCACTTGTATCTTGTTTCAGTAATAATGAAATCAGACCTTCTTGAGTGTCTGATAATCTACCATTTACATAGGAGTGGTTAAAACATGCTAATAACGGTCCTGAGTATATCAAAAAAGGTTTGGTATACCTCGACTGGTATGCCATCCAACCCTGGAGTTTTCCAGGACAAAGTCTTAATTGCATCCAGAAGTTCCTCCTCTGTAATTTCACCTTCACATGAGTGTCTTTCTGTATGGCTGTTAATTTTACATTATCAATAGAAAAGCTTCAGTTAGAGGAGATGGAGGCGACTGAAATGAAAACATATGCTTAAAGTACTTTGCTTCCTCCTTCAAAATATAATTTGGTGAATCATGGGTGACTGTCATTTGTAAATTATTTTTGATAGCCTTTCTATGTTGAAGATTAAAAAAGAATTTGGTGCATTTTTCCCCATATTCCATCCAGTTTGCGTTATTTTTATAATATATTACACTTGATCTTTCTTGAATAAGTTTCTCCATTTCTTTTTGTTTTTCCTCTAATTTATTCTGAGCCTCTATGTTACAGTTTTTATTGCTATCTATCTGTTTTGTTAGACCTTCTATTTCCTTTGTTAGTGTGGACTCTTTTGACCTAAATTGCTTTTGTTTTCGAGATGAGTACTGAATTGCATGGCCTCTAAAAAGGCACATTTAAAAGCATCCCATACAATAAGGGGATTTGCTGTACCTATGTTTTGTCTGAAAAAATCAGTTATAAATTCCTCTGTCCTAGTTAAAAACAAGTTATTATCCAATAGGCTTTGATTACATTTCCAATATCCTCGCCCACGTGGAAATTCAGTAAGAGTAATGTATATGCCAATTATGATGGTCCGACCACATTTTGTCCCCTATCAACACTAACTTTTGGTGCCAACGAGAATGACATAAGAAAGAAGTCAAGACGACTAGCTTGATTGAGTCTCCGCCATGTAGATATCTCACTAGATCAGGATATTTAAGCCTCCATACATCTATAGTTCTAATGTATCCATGACATTCACGATTTCCTTAAGAGCATGAGGGTGATAGTTTGTAGTGTGATTTCCTTTACGGTCCATTGAGCTATTTAAAACAGTATTAGAATCTCCCACCATAATAATAGAGTCTTGTATTGCTTGCAGGGTTGATAATTTATTATATACATTGTCAAAAAAGTGTGGATCATCATTATTTGGTCCGTAAAGGTTAATGAGCCATATCTGTTTATGGTCCAATAACATATTTAAAAATAATCCACCTACCTTGCGGATCTGTTTGGACAATTTGCAGATTCGGAAATTACTGTTAATATCATCACCCCTTTTGAGTTTCTTTGCCCATGGGAGAAGTATATTTCGCCCCCCCATTCCTTTTTCCACACAACTTCATCTAGAATTGTTGAATGAGTTTCCTGTAAACAATATATATTATATTCCTTCTTTGAGCCATGTAAATATTGTTGTTCTTTTGTTATTATCTGCTAAGCCATTACAATTATAACTGGCTATACTTATTTCACCACATACCATAATGAGATAGTTATTAAATAAATAATTAAGCCAATTTGTGTATTGCTGATTTATCAATAAGGTTAGGGTTCTTGCAGGTTCAAGGATTATGCAACGTTCAGAATGAGACTGATAAGAGGTAATTATTTAATAAGTGACTTATCGATATATAACATATCTTCTAGAGTTTAATTCTGGAGATGGTAACTCGTTAAACAACTTCTTCCGTGGTGCCCCAAATTCCTAAAGAGTTAATTGTTACATGATTCATTTAGTCAAGTAACAATTAAACATAGTTAGGTGATTCGATAAATAACAGTCATATATTAAAGTAAGTCACGTCACGACACCGTGTTTACACACAGGCTGCCCAATTCAGATTCTTTGCCCAATTAATGGCAAAAGATCTGATTCAATTGGTGAAAAGACCAATAACACGAGTCGATATTCACATAATAATAATAAAGGAATTCCCATCGACCACACCCACAAATTGGTGAAAACAAATTTATATCCTATTGACCCCCACTATAAAAGAGCCAACTTCGTCAATTTTTTGTTATACAGAAATAACAAAACATGCTGATAAGCTACTGTGTTCAATGTACAGTGAGGGGGAAAAAAGTATTTGATTCCCTGCTGATTTTGTACGTTTGCCCACTGACAAAGAAATGATCAGTCTATAATTTTAATGGTAGGTTTATTTGAACAGTGAGAGACAGAATAACAACAAAAAAATCCAGAAAAACGCATGTCAAAAAATGTTATAAATTGATTTGCATTTTAATAAGGGAAATAAGTATTTGACCCCCTCTCAATCAGAAAGATTTCTGGCTCCCAGGTGTCTTTTATACAGGTAACAAGCTGAGATTAGGAGCACTCCCTTTAAGAGTGTGCTCCTAATCTCTGCTTGTTACCTGTATAAAAAAGACACCTGTCCACAGAAGCAAATCAATCAGATTCCAAACTCTCCACCATGGCCAAGACCAAAGAGCTCTCCAAGGATGTCAGGGACAAGATTGTAGACCTACACAAGGCTGGAATGGGCTGCAAGACCGTCGCCAAGCAGTTTGGTGAGAAGGTGACAACAGTTGGTGCGATTATTAGCAAATGGAAGAAACACAAAAGAACTGTCAATCTCCCTCGGCCTGGCTCCATGCAAGATCTCACCTCGTGGAGTTGCAATGATCATGAGAACGGTGAGGAATCAGCCCAGAACTACACAGGAGGATCTTGTCAACGATCTCAAGGCAGCTGGGACCATAGTCACCAAGAAAACAATTGGTAACACACTACGCCGTGAAGGACTGAAATCCTGCAGCGCCGCAAGGTCCCCCTGCTCAAGAAAGCACATATGCAGGCCCGTTTGAAGTTTGCAAATGAACATCTGAATGATTCAGAGGAGAACTGGGTGAAAGTGTTGTGGTCAGATGAGACGAAAATCGAGCTCTTTGGCATCAACTCAACTCGCCGTGTTGGGAGGAGGAGGAATGCTGCCTATGACCCCAAGAACACCATCCCCACCGTCAAACATGGGAGGTGGAAACATTATGCTTTGGGGGTGTTTTTCTGCTAAGGGGAGAGGACAACTTCACCGCATCAAATGGACGATGGACGGGGCCATGTACCGTCAAATCTTGGGTGAGAAACTACTTCCCTCAGCCAGGGCATTGAAAATGGGTCGTGGATGGGTATTCCAGCATGACAATGACCCAAAACACACGGCCAAGGCAACAAAGGAGTGGCTCAAGAAGAAGCACATTAAGGTCCTGGAGTGGCCTAGCCAGTCTCCAGACCTTAATCCCATAGAAAATCTGTGGAGGGAGCTGAAGGTTCGAGTTGCCAAACGCCAGCCTCGAAACCTTAATGACTTGGAGAAGATCTGCAAAGAGGAGTGGAACAAAATCCCTCCTGAGATGTTTGTAAACCTGGTGGCCAACTACAAGAAACATCTGACCTCTGTGATTGCCAACAAGGGTTTTGCCACCAAGTACTAAGTCATGTTTTGCAGAGGGGTCAAATACTTATTTCCCACATTAAAATGCAAATCAATTTATAACATTTTTGACATACGTTTTTCTGGATTTTTTTGTTGTTATTCTGTCTCTCACTGTTCAAATAAACCTACCATTAAAATTATAGACTGAACATGTCTTTGTTAGTGGGCAAACATACAAAATCAGCAGGGGATCAAATACTTTTTTCCCCTCACTGTACATGTAACCAGGTCAAATATCCCAACCTACAGTTCGCAATGCTCCCGTGTAGGGAAATAGTGCCTGCGAGAAGCGACCTGTGACTCCAGGCTATTCGGCATGGGAGAGTGGGAAATGTGGGTACCCGGTGTCCATGTAGGCTCCACGTAGCTATGTGTGTGGAAAACATTTAATCACAGGTAAGACATTTAACTTGATTAGTACAGTCCGTTTGTAACTGCACTCACTAAATTGTAGCTATATAGTCTGTTTGTTTATGTTGTTGGTCTTGGCTAGCTAGCACACACGTGGCTGAAAAGGGGCATGAGGGAAGCCCTACAATTTTATGGTTTACTAAGTAGTGAGAATGTTCGGGAGCAGAAAATGTTGAAAAGTAATTTTTAGACATGTACTTTTCTTATTTCGTAATTGACTAAAACAAGCACACAACAAGAAAATTGAATTTGAAAAAGGTGACGTTTTTGCTGTGAGCCAATGGGAAAACCTAGGTAACCACAGGTTGTTTCACCACAGGAGGGCAGGGCCACTACGTTCTATCTATCTAATACCGACTGGGACTATATGTGGCAACAGATCAGAATTGGGCTGCCATTGGTACCATTATGATGGGAGGGCTAGGGGTTGATTTGGAATTTTGCATGATATGCCTCTCTGATCACCTGGGAGTCAGATCTATTATACTGTACAGTATATGGCTCTGCTGGGAGTGTGGAGTTGCAGAGCTCCGGGGTGAAGTTTCCCCAGGTACAGATCTAGGATCAGCTCTCTCCCCCAATCCTAACCTTCACCATGAGTGGGGAAAATGCACAACTGACCCAAGGTCAGCATCTAGGGGCAGCTTCACCCTACTCCATGGAGTTTCAGACAGGTTTTGCTCACCTCGTTGCCGTAGACCATGAGGTGGTGTGTGGCGGTGAGAGACTTGAAGACTACCACCCAGCTGGTGTTGGCAGTCCTTTCAAACAATGTGTCTGCCAGCTGGGGGATGTTCACGTTCATCTCATTGGTGCAGTGGATCAAGTCTGGGGGAGAGAGTGGGAGAAATGGTGGTTAATGTAGGGTCCTATAGGCATATTATTGCAAGTGATTTAATGTGTGAGTGAGACAGAGACAGCCTATCGAGAGCGTAGGCAAATGCTGTTTTGAACAACCAGTTCCACAAAATCAAGCTGTTGTGAGCTAATGACAAAACTTCCTGGTACAGGCTTTCGTCACTTTGACCGACCATGTTTGACTGAGAGCACAAAGTCCTTGTGGTGGCCATGCCCTTGGCACAGCTCCCATGCCATCCTGTGTAAAATCATCTTTCAGGCATGTCCAAGTCGCTCAGATAGAATGCTCTCTGCATCTCCTCTCACGGCTCACCAGCATCTGCTCTTCATAAACGTCCTTCGGCACCATTCTCTCTCCTCTACAAGTCCTCCTCTCGCTTCACACAGATCTCTCTCCCTCCCATCTCTCCCTCCCATCGCTCACACAGATCTCTCTCTCTTCCCCCTCGCTCACACAGATCTCTCTCTCTCCCTCGCTCACACCTCCTCTCTCACGATCCTCTCTCTCCCCCTCGCTCACACAGATCTCTCTCTCTCTCCCCCTCGCTCACACAGATCTCTCTCTCCTCCCCCCTCGCTCACACAGATCTCTCTCCCTCCCCCCTCGCTCACACAGATCTCTCTCTCCCCTCCCCTCGCTCACACAGATCTCTCTCTCCCCCCCCCCTCGCTCACACAGATCTCTCTCCCCCCCCTCGCTCACACAGATCTCTCTCCCCCCCCTCGCCACACAGATCTCTCCCCCCCCCTCGCTCACACAGATCTCTCTCCCCCCCCTCGCTCACACAGATCTCTCTCCCCCCCTCGCTCACACAGATCTCTCTCCCCCCCTCGCTCACACAGATCTCTCTCCCCCCCTCGCTCACACAGATCTCTCTCCCCCCCTCGCTCACACAGATCTCTCTCCCCCCTCGCTCACACAAGATCTCTCTCTCCCCCCTCGCTCACACAGATCTCCCTCTCCCCCTCGCTCACACAGATCTCTCTCCCCCCCTCGCTCACAGATCTCTCTCTCTCTCTCTCTCTCCCTCCCTCGCTCACACAAACTGAAAATGGTCAATCACTGAAACCTCAAGAGGACAAATCAAAGTTTATTGGTCGCGTACACAGATTTGCAGATGCAGCGAAATGCTTGTTTCTAACTCCAATAGTGCAGTAATAATACCTAGCAATACACAATCCAAAAATAAATAAATAAATATCAGATCGAGCAATGACAGTACAGAATCCACACACAGACCACACAGTGTACAAAACATTAAGAACACCTGCTCTTTCCATGACAGACTGACCAGGTGAATCCAGGTGAAAGCAATGATCCCTTATTGATGTCACCTGTTAAATCCACTTCAAATCAAATCAAAGCCTTGAGACAACTGAGACATGGATTGTGTATGTGTGCCATTCAGAGGGTGAATGGGCGCCATTCAGAGGGTGAATGGGCAAGACAAAATATTTAAGTGCCTTTGAACAGGGTATGGTAATAGGTGCCAGGTGCACCAGTTTGTCTCAAGAACTGCAACACTGCTGGGTTTTTCACGCTCAACAGTTTCCAGTGTGTATCAAGAATGGTCCACCACCCAAAGGACATCCAGCCAACTTGACAACTGTGGGAAGCATTGGAGTCAACATGGGCCAGCATCCCTCTGGAACGCTTTCGACACCTTGTAGAGTCCACAAATTGAGGGCAAAAGGGGGGGGGGACGGTGTTGTTAATGTTTGGTATACTCAGTGTATATAATGGTGTGCATAGACAGCATGGGCAGTATATGAATAGAAAAGGTGTGTACAGCAGTAGTTATAGGATGAGTCATGACTAGAATACAGTATATACATTTAAAGTGGGTAAAACAGTACTGTATGTAAAAAATAAAATTAATTGACCAGTGTTCAATGACTATGTACATAGGGCAGCGGGGCACCTCTCTAAGGTGCAGGGTAGAGTACCGGGTGGTAGCCGGCTTAGAACAGTGGCTAAGGCTAGTGGTGACTGTTAAACAGCTTCTATCTCCAGGCCATCAGACTGTTAAATCAGTCTCTTGGTCCCAGCTTTGATACACCTATACTGACTCCTCCTCCTAGATGGCAGCGGGGTGAACAGGCCGTGGCTCGGGTGGCTGTGATCTGCTGCTAGTACGGTACATGATTGGTAGCAACAAGGTGAAATCCTATGACAACACAGTAGATAGCTGATCAAACATTGAAATAGATTTAAAAGTATTTTTCAACAGTTGACAGCACACTGGGATTTAACGTACAAATGTGTAATCATGATTCAATTGTTCCTCTGAAGCGCTGACTGTTGCCGTTGCCCGTTTGTGTGACCTGGGTGGTCTACAGAGCACCTTTGGATGTCAGAATAGCTTCTGCAGTCGGTACAAAAGGACGCCCATGTGATAACAAAAGGCCTTTCAGGTCTGACAGAAATGACTGGTGGTGATGCAGGGAGGGACACATGCATCAACAAGTCCCATCAAAGTGATGCATAAGAACAAAATGGTGTTAAAACCTGTTTGGAGTCTTCTCCCTTTAACAGGGCGTTGGACTTTGACACACATGCAGCGTTCAAAACTGGGAACTCGGAAATCTCCGACTTCAGTGCGTTCAAGACAACTGGGAACTCTGGAGAAAAAAAAACGAGCTCCGACTGGGACAAATATTTTTAAACGGTCATCCAACTCGGAATTCCAGTCAGGAACTCTGACCTCTGTCTAGCGCTCCGACTTTCTGACATGAAGATCACTGACGTCATGATTTGACCTTGTCCCCCCCCAAAGTTCCCTGAAAGCACCATTATAATCTGATGACACCATTTGTAACACAAGCACTCGAGTAGAGTTGAGCTGAGATAGTTGTCAGCGAGGACACAGAAGAAGCCAACCTTCACAGCTTGGGGGTTTATTCAATCAAAAGTGGTATACAAGAGTTTACACACGTACTCTCTCTAGGTGCATTGTAAGTGCAAAAGGCTTATTATACAAGCACCATCCTTCTTAATGTTTAAAACCCATTTCGAGACCCTCATATAGATACACTGTACTCTTATTTTTCAAGCAACCCATGTGACGTCAAATAACTGTAGGGAGCTGTTCATGCGATACAATATTTAAAACAATCACTTGCCAAAATGGTTGCTTGGCAAATAACTTCAATAAATATTTTAGTGAAATTCTTTGTTGTAGAAACAAATTATTTTCAACAGATCAACCTAAAATGTGGAATTTATACATCTCACAAAGTAGTGAGTAATAACTAGCCTGCATTTCACTGTTACCTAAAGTGCTGCCATGTTTGTTGACCTATACCTTTTTCCTTATATTTATATCGAAGACTAGGCACATTTCTGAAAATGAAACAATGTTACCTGCTCGCTGTGGCTTCTGAAAAGGGTGGGATTGTACATTTAGTTCTACTCGTAATCCTCCTTTAATTTCAGTTTGAAAGCAAAAACGTTATTGACTCAGCAGGATGCTTTTCACTTCATGAGAGGATTTTAAAATTAAATGAATCCCGGCTCCACAAGCACCTTATACAGGCAAATAGCAGTCATATATACCGCTATAGAAGCCTAAAGATAACAGGTCTGTGATCAAACACCTAGACCTAGAGGTATTGTCTAAAATAAAGGGATACTGAATGTGGTCGAATGCATATCACACCTCTCTTCATAAGAATAATTTATCCCTAGATAATGTAATAAAAACAATTCACTAGGGTAAACCTTCAGTAAATCCTGCTATGTCTGACTGGCACATCCCCAAGGGTAGCAGAGAAGAAACTGATCATCTACTCACAGGAAGTATTGAAAGAGTTAAAAATCCATGAAAAAGGTAGAATGCATAAGACATTTGTCAACCTGAGCATAGCACCGTGCACTTCAGCCACGCTCAAGGTCCTAAACGATATTATAACCGCGATTGATAATAGACAGTACTGTGCAGCCGTCTTCATCGACCTGGCCAAGGCTTTCGACTCTGTCAACCACCGCATTCTTATTGGCAGACTAAATAGCCTTGGTTTCTCAAATGACTGCCTCGCCTGGTTCACCAACTACTTCTCAGATAGAGTTCAGTGTGTCAAATCGGAGGGCCTGTTGTCTGGACCTATGGCAGTCTCTATGGGGGTGCCACAGGGTTCAATTCTTGGGCCGACACTTTTCTCCGTGTATATCAATGATGTCGCTCTTGCTGCTGGTGACTCTCAGATCCACCTCTACGCAGACGACACCATTTTGTATACATCTGGCCCTTCATTGGACACTGTTAATAAACCTCCAAACGAGCTTCAATGCCATACAACACTCCTTCAGTAGCCTCCAACTGCTCTTAAACACTTGTAAAACTAAATGCATGCTTTTCAATCGAACGCTGCTGGCACCCGCCCACCCGACTAGAATCACCACTCTCGACGGGTCTGAGTATAGAGTATGTGGACAACTACAAATACCTAGGTGTCTGGTTAGACTGTAAACTCTCCTTCCAGACTCACATAAAGAATCTCCAATCCAAAGTTAAATCTAGAATCGGCTTCCTATTTCGCAACAAAGCCTCCTTCACTCATGCTGCCAAACATGCCCTCGTAAAACTGACTATCCTACCGATCCTTGACTTCGGCGATGTCATTTACAAAATAGCCTCCAACACTCTACTCAGCAAATTGGATGTAGTCTATCACAGTGCCATCCGTTTTGTCTCCAAAGCCCCATACACTACCCACCACTGTGACCTGTACGCTCTTGTTGGCTGGTCCTCACTACATGTTCGTCGTCAAACCCACTGGCTCCAGGCCATCTATAAATCACTGCTAGGCAAATCCCCGCATTATCTTAGCTCATTGGTCACCATAGCAGCACCCACCCGTAGTCTGCGCTCCAGCAGGTATATCTCACTGGTCATTCCCAAAGCCAACACCTCCTTTGGCCGCCATTCCTTCCAGTTCTCTGCTGCCAATGACTGGAACAAATTGCAAAAATCTCTGAAGCTGGAGACTCTTATCTCTCTCACTAACTTTAAGCATCAGTTGTCAGAGCACCTTACCGATCACTGCACCTGTACACAGCCCATCTGAAATTAGCCCACCCAACTACCTCATCCCTATATTGTTATTTATTTTGCTCTTTTGCACCCCAGTATCTCTATTTGCACATAATCTCTTGCACATCTAGCATTCCAGTGTTAATACTATTGTAATTATTTTGCACTATAGCCTATTTATTGCCTTACCTCCATAACTTGCTACATTTGCACACTGTATATATATTTTCTGTTGTATTTTTGACTTTATGTTTTTTACCCCATATGTAACTCTGTGTTGTTTTTATTGCACTGCTTTGCTTTATCTTGGCCAGGT